TCAAGAAGTCTGGGATAGCAGGGGGCTGTGGGTCAGGATTGAGGGGCACTGGCAGAGCTGTGTGGGGGCCCAGGGCTGGGATAGCAGGGGGCTGTGGGTCAGGATTGAGGGGCACTGGCAGAGCTGTGTGGGGGCCCAGGGCTGGGATAGCAGGGGGCTGCGGGCAGGGATTGAGGGGCACTGGCAGAGCTGTGTGGGAAGCCCAAGGCTGGGCTAGCAGGGGGCTGCGGGCAGGGATTGAGGGGCACTGGCCAAGCCGGTGTCAGACTGCATCTCCAGCTGGAGCCCGGGATGGTGCCACGTACTCTGGATGGTTCCTGTTCTGGCTGATGCTGCCCTGACGCCCCTGCCCCGAGGGGTGGGCCGGGCTCCGTGTGCTGAGCCAGCTCCGTGGGGCGTTGTGCTGAGCTCTGCCCTCTCTGCCCGCCCCGCAGTCGGAGATGCTGCTGCAGCACCAGTCCAATCCGTGCATCATGGACAATTGCGGGAAGACGCCCCTGGACTTGGCGTGTGAGTTTGGCCGGGTCGGGGTAAGTCCATCCAGATGCCTGAGCCCCGTTTCGACGACGCAGTCAGCAGCACCCGCGGAACCTACTGCAGGCCTCAGCTGGCCTGGCAGCCCTCTCCCCGGGCACGGCTGGGGCTACGTATGCGTGGGGAGCTTCGCCCTGCCTCTGCCCGGGATCCCACTCCACTCCCGGGATCCTGCTCTCACCCCCAGCGGGGGAAATCTGGATTCACGCCCCGGCTGCCCTGGTCACACTGGGGAGACGGAGGGCAGGAGCCGCTCTCCCTCCTGCTCCACATCGGCTGAGACTGGGAAAATACTCCCTTGCAATCCTGCAGCCAGCATGTAGCACCCGGGGCGGGGGGCACAGGGCACCGGGGGCTGGGACACCCCAAGAGCCCAGCCTGCCCTTCAGAGTGCAGAGCGGGGGGGAGGTGAGCTGCTCCCGAAGGCAGGGTGGAGCTCAGTGCATCCCAGACCAGCGCCCGGGAGCAGCAGGGCAGGCTGCGGGTCTGCTCCCCTGGCAGGGGCAGCGTTCGGTTGGGGGCGCTGGGCCAGGCCGCCTGGCAAACAGCCCCAGGGGCTCAGAAGAAACTGGGGGTAGTTTGACGCTTTACAAACCTTCCTGCCCGGGCTCTCCTGGCCAGTGCAGACGTTCTCCGGCTCGCTGAAAAACGCCGGCCTGTCTGTGGTCAGCAGCCCAGGCCCTGGACCACAGCTTAACGGCTGCCCTGTCCTGCGGTCCAGAGCCTGCCCTGCCCAGGGGATCCGGTTCAAGGGTGCGTGGATGGGTCTGGTGTCGGGGTGGGTGGCCCAGCCCGTGCTCTCTGCACCGTGGAGCTGGGCCGTGTCCCGCCCCAGGGCTGGGATCTGCGTCTCCAGGGGAGCCGAGCTGTCTCTCCAGCCCTGTCCCTTCCATCTCTGGTGCCCCAGGTGGTCCAACTGCTCCTGAGTAGCAACATGTGCACAGCCCTGCTGGAGCCCAAGCCGGGAGACACCACCGACCCCAACGGTACCAGCCCCCTGCACCTGGCAGCCAAGAACGGGCACATCGACATCATCAGGTGAGCGGGGGGAGGGCCCCGGCTGCCGCAGCGGGGGGCAACAGGGGAAGGGGTTCCTGGAGAGAGACGCTCCCTTGGCAGCTGGTGACTCCAGTCTCCGGCCCCAGCCAGTCCCTGGTCTGACGGGGCTGGCGGCGTTTGGTTGTGGTGCTCTGGGTTCCCTGTCCTGGTGTGTGCTGCCCCCTCCTGTCCCCTTGACACCCCTCCTCTGGCAGATTTCAGGCGCCGGGCGTGTGCGCAGGCGAATGGGGTACGAGCCGCCCACCCTGGCAGGCAGCGGCAGGCGAGAGCTCTGTGGGGCTGCGTGCATGAACGATGCTCACTTTGCCTTGGCCACAGTGGCCGGAGACAAGGTCTTGACTGTGGGGGCACCCCCAAGCTGGGCTCTTACGGGCAGCCGCACCCCCAAGGCCAGGCCCCTCTTAGTGCCAGGGGCTGGGTCGCTGCGTATCCTCCCCCACTGAGCTCAGTGCTCTGGTCACTGCTGGGGCACAGCCTGCCCCGGGGGTCACAGCACAGGGGCGCTGTCATGAGCGTGCCTCTGAACCCGGGGCTGCAGCGCCCAGCGCCCTGGCTGGTTGGCGGGAGGGCGCTGCCTGTCTGGGTCCTAGTCCGGGGATCCTGGCTGCCAGGCGGGTTCTGCAGTGGCTGTGGAGCGGCAGGGAGGGTTGTGAGCGACCCCATGGCAGTTTCTGCAGACGAGGGGTTAGCCCCAGGCCTTGCCCAGACCCAGCTGGTTCAGAGTTCAAAGCCCCAAACCACACGATCCCGGCTTCGGGGCTCGTGGATTGAGCTCGCCGGCGACTCACCGTGAAGGTCCGTGCTAGCAGCTTGGTTGGCTTGGCTTCCTTACACGCCGTGTGCACTGGGATCTCTCCCTTCTGTCCCCATGTGTTGTGCAATATGTTCATGCGCCGTTAAACAGCTGCCGCGTTCCACCCCAGAGCTGGCTGCCTTTCGGTGATGCAGGAAGAGCGTCTGGGGTTTGTCTCCCTGACAGTGCCCTGGGAAGGGACTGGAGGGTTGGTAGCAGCTGCCCCACCCAGAATGGTCAGTGGAGGGGCAGAAGGGGTTACATTTTGCAGCGAGTGGTGACGTTTGGCGGGAGTCTCTGGTGGGTCATTTAACCCCTGCGTGTCTGGTCTGTGGGTGCTTTATTATTTAGTGCAATTCAGGGACTGGCGGAAAGGCTCCAAGCCCGTTTCTGTCGTCGTCAGTGCAACGAACCTGGCCTGAGTCCCCCGTGTGAAACGCCCCAGGAGATGGGGGGCTGGGAGCCCCTCCCCCATGCCCCCAGCTGCACCCCACAAAGCCATTTCCTATCCAGCCTGGCACCTGCTCCAGGTGCAGTCACAGGCTGAGTTCACGTGTGTCCCCTCCCCCAGAGACACCTGTCCCGGGGCGCTGGGCTCAGGGTGAGGGGCTCTTGGCCCTTGGTGGGGGGGTCTCGGGGGGCGCAGAGCGCCTGGCCCTGGGGGCCGTGCAGTGGGCTCGTGGTGCAGGTTTCTCATTGAACTGGTGCCACCTGCTGGAGCAGCTGTGGCATTGCAGTGGAAGTGGCTGGTAGCGTGACGAGGGGCTAGGGGGATGCGTCCCTGATGCCCAGCACCCCCCTGGGACAGCAGAGCGAGGGCAAGGCCTCTCCTGGCTGCTGGAGTCATTTAGCAAATTGCCTGTGGCTTGACGCCCTCTCCTCAGGGTCTAGGTCTCAGCGGGGCTCCTCTCGGAGCCTGGCAGCAGCTGTCCTGCCGGATATGCTCTTGACCTCATCAGTGGTGATGCCGAGCTCCCCAGCCCCCGGGCATCTCCGGACGGCATTCGCCTGCGGCGGTGCAGTGCAGCTCAGGGATGCCAGGCCGGGGCTGGGGGAGGGCGAGCAGCTGTCCGCGTCCTCCACAGAGAGTTTCTTTCACTCCAAGGCCTGGCCGTCCCCTCTTCCTTCGCCGGCTCTACAGAGATCGTGGGCAGCGCAGACTGGTGCTCACCAGCTCCACGGGCTGGGCAGCTCATTGAAAATAACCCGCTCCAGCAAACCTGTGCCCCTTGCCAGTCACTGGGTGGAGCCCTGACTCCCGCACCTGGGGGCCGCGTGCAGCCTGCTGCCAGCCGGGCGGGTTGGAGGGAAAAGGGCAGCGTCTGTGGCACACAGGGGCAGGTCTGGGGGGGAACTGGTCCAACCAGGCAATGGGAAGGGGAGATGTCCTGAGTCCCAGGGAGCAGGGGTGGGGGGGTCCTGGGGTGCCAGCAGCAGTCCCTGGCATCGTATCCCGTCGGCGCTTTGGTGCAGCCTGGTGCATGGGCTTTGCAAAGGCACTAAGCACCCCCTCCTGGGCAGCACAGGGGAGACACAGCCCAGGTACCTCAGCAGGTCTGAGCCCCGATGTGGGTCGGGGGTGGGCCAAGAGGCCAGCTGTGTCCCGCCTCCACTCCACCACTGGCCCTTCTGGCTCCCCGGGCGGCAACACGGCACTTTGGAAAGCAGGGCCCCCCAGGGGCTGCTGCTGGAGTTCAGTCAGTGCCCCCCCCCATGGTAACTCCTTGTTCTAGGGTGGAGCTGTCCCAGGCCTTGTTTTGGATATGGCCTGTGTCCCGCCGCACAAAGGGAGGACCGGCCCCGAGGGCTACGCTGGTTAGTGCTGTTCACAAACCACTGGAGCGTGCGCCCTCGGCTGCTGGCTTCAGCATCTAGGCACTGGCTCTTGTTCTTCTCCTCCCCGCCGGGTCCCGGAGCCCCTTAGCACCCCCTAGCGTCTCCCCACCAAGGGCCCGGCCTAGATGCTGGAATAAGTCACTCAGTCTGGTTTTCCCAAGCTGGACAGGCCGAGCTCTTTCAGTCTCTCTCGGCTGTTTTCTCCAGCACTTGAAGCACTTTTGTGGCTCTTCCCTGTACCCTCCCCTGTCGTTCTTCGCCCCCTTTAAAACGCGGCCCCCAGGACTGGGCGCGATATTCATGCTGCACGAGCCGGGTTGGAGTCTGGCTCCCTGTTCCCAGACAGGAGGGGCCGGACGCAGCACACGTGGATTTCTGCCGTACAAACGGCTGCACAGGGTCAGAGCAGTCTTGTGGCAGAGGCTGGTGCCAGGTGCTTCAGAGGGAGTGAACAGACCAGGGCGAGGATCCCAGCGTCTGGCAGCAGATGTGACTCTGAGCACGTGCAGGGAGCCAGGCTGGTCAGAGGGCTGGGGTTGGGTGCCTGCCCGTCGCAGCGCTGGCACGGCTGCCCGCCCCAGGAAGTGTGTGTGTGTGTGTGTCGTGCTGGCCTGCCTGGGCCTCAGAGGAAGGGGAAAAGGCACCCAGCCTGGGAGAACTGGCGTTGTGGGCCCAATCCTGGGATGTTCTGCGCGCGCTCTGCTCCCACTGAGCGCAGGGCCATGCCCTGACTCTGGCTGCCCTCTGCGGGTTGGCCCCGTGGCTCAGCGTTGCCCCTCCTGGCCCCCCTGGGTGATAGCTCATTGCCAGGCTGCAGGGCCAGGCAGTATCTTTGAAGCAGCAGAGTCCTGTGGGATGGTGCCCGGGTGGGATCCGGCGGCGGGTGCTGCTCTGCCCAGGTGACTCAAGCATGCGGTGCTGGGCAGTGCAGCTGAGACAGCACCCCCTCCCCCAGCCCCTTGGCTCTGCACCTCGCAGCCACCCACCTGCAGCACTGGCTCGCGGCAGTGCCGTAACCTCGGCCAGGTTTGCTGCCAGCTGCTGCAGATGTGGCCGGCATGGAGGCAGCTGCCTCTCTGCTCACCCCCAGCCCCTGCCCTTTGCTCCCCCGGGCCCTGCAGCATGGAGGGGGAGGGCTGGAGTCACACACTCAGCTCCCGGGCCCATCAGCAATCCCAGGGGTGTCTGTGGGCGGGGGGAGGGCTGCAGGTTATCTCCCAGCCGGCTGGCGGGGGAGCAGAGTGGGGGGAACAGAGCCCTGCTGCATCCCCACAGGGGAGGGGACCTTTGGATTTTAGTCGTCGCGTTAGAATCTGGGTGGGGCAGGGGCTGAGTCCCTCCGGCTGGGTCCCGCCCACCGTGGGCACCAATGGGATGAGCGCAGCAAGTCTCTTGCTTCGGCAACTCGGGCTCTAGGGAAACCCCCCGTGAGAGGGGCTGGGGTGTGGGACGAAATCGCCACAGAATCTGCCATAAACAGCAGCCTCTGCCCTGGATCTGTGGATCAGGATTGAGGGGCAGCCCCAGAGCTGGGGGCAGGGCAGGGCTGGACTGGGCTGGCAGGGGGCTGTGGGTCAGGAGTGAGGGGCACCGGTAAAACTGTTGTGGGGGCAGGGCAGGGCAGGGCTGGGCTGGCAGGGGGCTGCGGGTCGGGAGTGAGGGGCACTGATAAAGCTGTTGTGGGGGCGAGCTCAGGGCTGGGCTGGCAGGGGGCTGCGGGTTGGGAGTGAAGGGCAGCCCCAGAGCTGGAGGCAGGGCAGGGCTGGGCTGGCAGGGGGCTGCGGGTTGGGAGTGAGGGGCAGCCCCAGAGCTGGAGGCAGGGCAGGGCTGGGCTGGCAGGGGGCTGTGGGTCAGGAGTGAGGGATGCCGGCACAGCTGCATGTGGGGAGCTTGCACCCGCCTGCCCCGGTCCCCCCTCCTACCCCCGGCCTGCGTCGCTAACCCATTTGACGCGCTCCTGGCAGGCTCCTGCTGCAGGCTGGCATTGACATCAACCGGCAAACCAAGGCGGGCACGGCCCTGCACGAGGCAGCCCTGTGTGGCAAGACGGACGTGGTGCGCCTCCTGCTGGACGTAAGGCCCCCTGCGTCACGCTGCGTGTGTCCGGGGGCAGGGGGGGGGGAGGAGCCGCTGAACTAGTCGGGGGACTCTCCTGTCCTGGGGTAGCAGGGCATGGTCTGTTCCCCATTGACAGCTCTCCCAGCATTAGGGGGCCCCTCCCAGTGCAGGGGGCTCTTGGCCTGGCTTGCAAGGGGGCTGTGAAATGAGCATCCCCCTGTCCTGGTGCCCCCTATGTCCTTGGGGCGCTGGGCAATGCGAGTGGTGCTGCAGCATCATTCCTGGAGCCCACCCTCCTGGGGGCGTTCCTTCGGTGACTGACAGCTTGTCCCCAGGGTGGCACTGCTGCGTATCATGTTTGCTCACCCCCTGCCCCAGTTACCCAGCCAGCTCTGCCCCCCGTCCCGGCTCTGTCGGCAGGAACCCCTCGCTCACAGCCTGAACGCTGCAGTCCGGGCTCAGGTCCGGGGAGCTGGCTGGGTCTCGGTTCCAGTCCAGTGCCGAGGAAGGGGGTTCCCTCTGGACTGGGGGGCTCTGCTGCCCGATGCACTGCACCGGGGAGCCGCTGAGATGGGGGAGTGAGAGGAAGTGAATGGGAAGGAGGGGGGCTGAGAGAGAGAGAGAGAGAGAGTCCAGTGTGCAAACCCGCTCGGCCTAGGGTGACCAGACAGCAAGTGTGAAAAATCAGGACAGGGGATAGGGGGTAATAGGAGCCTATATAAGAAAAAGAGCCACAAATCGGGATTGTCCCTATAAAATCGGGACATCTGGTCACCCTAGCTCGGCCTCTGTCGTGTCCAGGGGGCATCCCTGCAGAGCCAGGAGTGGGCACTGACTCACCCTGGACTGCAGGGCAGGGAGGGTCTGACTCCCACTGGCTTTGTGTCCCCCCAATCCCCCTATAACCAGCCGGCCCCAATCACCCTGTGGGTTTCACACTGGTTCCCGCAGTGCCCATGCTGCCCATGCAATGGGCACTGGCCAGTCCTCGCCCAATCCCGGGCCCGGGTCTCCACTGAGCTCCCACAATGCAGCTGGCTGGATGGTGCTGGCCTGCGGAGGGCAGTTTGTCTGAGCCCACGCGCTGCTCACAAGGCCAAGAGCCTGTGGGAGTCTGTCCCAGATGGTCTCGCTGTGGCACCCCTGAGCTGCCTGCAAGCTGGGTGTGGCTGGTGTGGCCAGCGGGGGGGGGGGGGGCGCGAGGGGGGGAGCACCTCCGTGGCCAGCCCTGAGCGCCCCTCCCCTCAATCTGTCTCTGCATTTCAGAGCGGGATCAACGCCCACATCCGGAACACGTACAGCCAGACGGCGCTGGACATCGTCCACCAGTTCACCGCCACCCAAGCCAGCAAGGAGATCAAGCAGATGCTGCGGGGTACGGGGGGGTTCCCTCCACGGGCGGGTGCTGGGGATGCCCAGGGTCCCCTCACATCCCACCGGGATGGGCGAGCAGCGCGCTCCGCTAGCTGCCATCCGTGCTGACGGGAGCAGAGTCCCTGCCCGCCCTGCTGTTGCCAAGGTCAGGGCAGTGACTCCCAGCCGCTCTGAGCTGCTCTGTCGCCCTGGGGTGTGAGGTGAGCTCTGGCCTGTGTGGGGGGCAAGTCCTGGGCTCACGCCGCGGCCCCTCATGCTCCACCCCAGCCGCACGCAGGGAGCTCCCCGCCAGCTGATGGGTTTGGGGCTTGGACTCTGACCCACCTACGAAGGTCAAGTGCATCCACGCAAGAGCTGCTTGGAGCATTTTCTCCTTGGGGCACATGCGCAGGGCCGTTAGCCCTGGTCTAACTCCCTCTCCGGGACAGTCATGTCCTTTATCGCTGTCTTCAGCCCTTCAGGGGTATTGGTGTTAAACAGCTGCCACGTTTTGCCCCAGAGGTGGCTGCCAGTCAGTGGTGGGGGACTTGGTTCTGATTCTGCAAAGGGCTGTGGGCTCCCTGGCAGGGGCTCTGTACCAGATGTGGACAGGGCACAGATCTCGCTCGGACACCCACGGTGTTCATCCTAGGATCCTGTAATGCTCTGCCGGGCTTGGCGGAGCTCCGGCAACACGGCGCCTCCTCGTGGCTGAACAGGATAGTACGGTCTAGCGCTGCATTCCGGTTCTGGTTGGCGCGGCTCATCGCTGGAGCAGTGGGTGCTCTCTGTCGCTGCTCTAGCTACAGGGAACTCCTGTCCCCTGTTCCTCGCCAGGGAGCCCAGAGCTCTTGCTGGGGGGCGGGGGAGGGAGGTTACTTTGTGGGGCTTTCTCTCCGACGCTTCCCTCCTGCTCTCTCGGCAGACGCCTCGGCGGCGCTGCAGGTCAGGGCCGTTAAAGATTATTGCAACAACTACGACCTGACCAGCCTGAACGTGAAAGCCGGGGACGTCATCACCGTGAGTTGCTTGCAGAGCCGGCAGCGGCGGGCCAGGCCAGGGCTGGGCTCACGGCCCCCATGACCCCAGTCCCCTCTCTCCAGCAGCCTGCCCCTCGGCCCCCTCTGCTCACGGGGAGGGAGGAGCCTGCTGCCCCTTAGTGCCCCAAGGCAGGAGTCCTTCGCTGGCACCAAGCTGCCTGGGCAGCCGCTGGCACACCAGCAATGGGGGGCTCAGACTGCAGTTGGGGTGGGGGTGGCGGGACCAAGGGACCAATGCCGAGGCGAGTAGAAAGAGCCTGTTCGGAGAAGACAGGACTAGCCGGGATGGCAAAGGGCTAGAGAAGCCTTTGCCCCCGTAGCGAGGGGCTGGGCAGGGAGGCAGCTGCCGGTCCCTGCCAGCGCCAGTCCATTCCCTATGGTCTCTGCCCCCCCACCATCTGGTGGGCGCTGGGCTGTTCCCTATAGTCCCTGCCCCAGTGCCTCCCCATCCCCAGTGCCACTGCCCCCTTGCCGCCGAGATGGCTGCAGCAGATCACCAGCCGCCTGCCTGGGGTACCAGCCCCCGCTGGCAGGAGCTAGCAGAAGGATGTTGCCCCCTTCTCTCCTGCTGGCTGGCTCTCGCCTGCGGTTCCCGTCCCCTCGGCCCCGCCAGCGAGCGCCCCCCTCTCCGGGCCTTTCTGTCGTGCAGGTCCTGGAGCAGCATGCGGACGGCAGGTGGAAGGGCTGTATCCATGACAACCGGACCGGCAATGACCGCGTGGGCTATTTCCCGTCCAGCCTGGTGGAAGCGATCAGCAAGCGCACAGGCAAATACCTGGCCCTCCCCAACCCCCGCCCGGCGCACGTCAGGCCCTGCCGCCACCGCACCCAGGCAAAGGGCCTGGGCTGGGTCTCCCCGGATGGGTCTGCGAGCCCCATAAGCCCCACGGGGAGGGTACAAGGGGCCCTGCCAGATGCCGCCAGGAGCAGGGACCCTGAGAGCGTGAGCCCTGCTCCGACCCCCAGCTGAGATGGGAGCGTGGGGCCAGGTTCCTCCACCTGATGTGGCCTGGGGCCTGCGGGGAGACGTGTGGCTTCAAAGGTGGGCGTGGCTGGCTGGGAAAGGCGCTTGGCAGAGCGCCTATGGGACAGGTCATAGCCGCCCTGCCGCTGGAGGGGGAATTCCCCCCTCCCTGCACCGCTGCTCTGAATCTGGTCCTGGATTTCTGTTCTTAGGAGCCCATCTGCCCTCTCTGCCCCCAGGGCCTCGCTCCTCTCCACGGCAGCTGGTTGTCACACCACCGACCGAGGACCTGCGGCTGAGCTGCCAAGGGGCCACGATCCTGTTCCCGTGCAGGGGAGCAGTAACCGGCTGGCTTGTGGCAGTCTGCCCCGGCAGGAGGGGAGGCTATGCAGGCTGACCAGCCCGAAAGCTCAGCACATGCTGTCACGGGGGCACGCAGCGCCCACCCACTGAGCTGGCCTGGCACCCAGTGCCATCCAGGCTGGGCCATGCGGCCCTTTGCTCTCCCCCTGTCGGCCGAGATCAGCTCCCAGGAGCGCGCCGGCAGCGGAGGGGATCTCCCCTCTGGGCTGTGTGCCCTCCATGGGCCTGGGCGTGCTCTTTGGGGCCCGATGCCAGGGGCTTGCCTGCCAGGTGGGGCGGGGTTGGGTGTCGGGGGCTGGGGAGGTTTCTGCGCTGGAGCGTGTCTTATTCTAGCTGGGGTGGCTCTGGGGTTCTGACCCTGCTCCGAGAGAGGGCTGGGGTTGTGCTCGGTGATTTCGAACGCACACGGGCGTCTGCTGCCCCTCGCCACAGGACAGCGAGTGACCAGCTAGAGCCTTGGCATGGGGGGGCCGAGTGACGGCGCTCTCTACAAACCGCAAGACTCTTCCTCCCTTCCCACTCCGTGCTGACCCCGTGGGAGACCGCACCCTGCCGTCTGTCCCCAGTGCCCCTTCGCCCTGGGTCAGCCTCGGCCCCGTGGCGTCCCTCGCAGCTCAGCACCGGCGCTGGCAGCCCGGCTGGGTGGGCCGTGGCTCTGAACAGCTGAGCCAGAGTGGTCGGGCTTTGGGCGGGGGCTTCCCTCGGTTCCCCGTGCCTCCCGCACTGCGCAACCCCATCAGGGCCGGACGTGGGTGAACGCCAGGCCGAGCGCCTGTTGCTGCTACAGAGAAGCTGAGTCTGGTGCAGATTGAGAGGGAATGCGAATGGCATCCTGGGGGCAGGCTGGGGGAGAGCAGTGGGGGGGCGGGGCTGGGGGAGAGCCCCCAGTGGGCGGGGACCGGGGGCGGGGTGGGAGAGCAGTGGGGTGGGGCCGGGGGGGCAGGCTGAGAGAGCAGTGGGGGCGGGGCAGGGCAGACTGGGGGAGAGCAGTGGGGGGGCGGGGCTGGGGGAGAGCCCCCAGTGGGGGAGTGCGGGGGGGTGGGGTGGGAGAGCAGGCTGGGAGAGCAGTGGGGGGCGGGCAGCAGGCTGGGTGGGAAAGCACCTGGGGGGGTGGAGCGGATGCCTGGGCAGCAGGTAGAAGCCACATGCCAGCCCAGTGCAGAGGGGGTCTGCTGGGGAGGGGCTGGCAGAGCGTCTCCTGCACACCCCCTGTGGCCAACTCGTGCAATGGCTCTGGAGCGACTCCCAGCTTTTCCTAGGTGGGGAGCCCACGCCCTGCGCACCCCAGGGCCTTGTGGACACCAGCTGCTCAGCGAGCTGGCTGCCCAGTCAGCGGGGTTCCTGGCTGTGATTCCTGTGCGTCTCGTACCCGTAGGATCGGGGGGTCTACGGCAGAGCCCCTGCTCACACTGGTCAGTTTTCCCCATTCACCAGCCCCCCAGACCAGGGTCCTGACGCGTCTGCGGCGTCTCCTGTCGGGAGGAAGCCGGCACCTGGCTTGGGCAGCAGGGGCTGCATCGGGGTGAAAACGAGCGGGTCGGAGCTTGGAACCCGCCAGAGCCCAGAGAGCCTCCCCTTCCCACGCTCTGGAACGGGGCTCTAAGAACGGGGTGCCAGGGTCACCTTGCCCTCAGGGGTGTCCGAGCCGACTAACTCAGCTTTTCCCCACCTGCCAGCCCTGTTAACCTCCCCTGCCTGGTGTCTTTTGGTCCTTTCCACCTGGGTCACCTGAGAGCAAGGCGGGGAGGGGGAGGAAGCGCGGCCCTGGGGGGATGCATTGCCGGCAGAGTCAAGTCCTGACTGTCTACACCAGGGCAAACCTGGGCAAGGCAAGGGGGCTGCGTGGGATTCCTGAGGCAGGGGCTGCGGCACTGCAGATCTTTGTTCTTGGGGATGATGCGGGCTGCAGGCACAGCCCGGCTTGGCCCTCGGAGCCCAGGCTGTTTGCAGGGCTGACGGCTGGAAAAGCCACCTCCTGATTTGTAACCTGAATGCCTCTGCCCTGGAGGCCTTGGAGACAAAGTACCGGGTCGCTGTTCAGAGAGCCTTGGGCGTCCTCCCAAGGGACGGGACGGGAACGATTCAGCCAGGGCTGTCCCGTTGCTCATAGCATGCCTTTGGCTGAGACAAGGAGCCGCTGGACGACGGGCTCTCTGAAGTCTTTATTGGCCAAGGCTCTGGTTATCTCGGCGATTGTGCATTCTCCGACTCCTATGCTGGGATCTATTTCGGGCACTAGGCTGATGCCTCCGGCTTTTGGGCTTCGCTGGCCCCCTCTAGCATTTAGTTCTGTCCACAGCATGGAGATGCAGGGCCAGGGTCATGCTGTCAGTGTCCTGCACCGTCCTGGGAGCGGGATCCAAGGATGGTCGCAGGGAGCGGGCCCGGGCTTGGCGCAATGACACAGTCCTGGGGGTGGCGTCCAGCGACGCATTGACTGGATCCCATCTGCTGTCGAGTTCTAACCTGGCTCCGCGGTCACTGTGGGGTCTTAGTGCAGGGGGCGGCAGCCTTCACGTTAGAGCTGAAACAAGCCAGACATGGGTCACCTTTCCTTCTTATCAGCTTGTGCCAGAGGTGTGGTTATCACTGCAGATCGGGGAGACCCCGGTCCCTTCGGCGGCTGGACAGGAGATTTGTCTCTAGTTTGACAAGCTGCAGAAAGCAGGCAGGTTCCTCAAAGCAATGAGACCCCCCCCAGCCATGGCTCAGGGGGCCGTTTCCCTGGCAGAGACGCAGATCCGTCCCACTCAGCGCGGAGAGCTATGGCCATTGTGGGTGGTTTTCATTTGGCACCGCGAGGAAAGTCATCCCATTGGCTCTGTAAATCTTCGTCCTCTCGACGTTCCATTCTGGGCTCTGAGCCTGGGGGCCAGCCAGGGCCTTGGAGTGGAAGCTGCCGGGGTCCTACGGCAGCCTTGGGGGCTGCATAGGTCAAGGCCTCGGTGCTCCATGCAGTGCTGGAGTCTTCATGCCCTGCTCAAAGCGCCCTCTCTGTCCTCCAAGTGCCTCCCCTGGCTGTGACGAAAGAGGCAAATGCCCCCCCCCCCACCTCGAGCACTGAGACCTGCTCCCAAAGGATGGAAAACACATCAGCTTTAATGGCTGGCCCAGGAGGCCAGGGGCTGGGGCGTTTGTGCAGGGAGCGGAGGGGGGACAGTTCTTCCTGGGGTGTGAATGGGGGGGGCGTGATCAGGTGGCTTTTGCTGGCCCCAGAGTGTGTGTCGGGCTGTGACAGGCCAGGCTGCCGCCTGCTTGTGCGGGATCTGGAGTCTTGCCTGCCCCAGTCGCTGGCTGTCCCTGGGTGTGCCCAGCAGGAGGGCGGGGAGTGTGCAAGCCCCTTGGCCCGTGGTGACGGCCGTGCCCCGCTCTGGAGGGTGGGTTGGTGTCGCTCCCAGGGACGGTGCTGGGCTCAGCGTGAGTGATTTGCCACCCCGGTTCCGGCTGGGAGGTGCTAGTGGGAGTCCGCACACCGCTGCCCCCCACTGGTTGCAAGGTCATGCACGCATCAAGGGCAAGCTGAGGGTCCCCCTGAGCCTCGGGCCCTGCTGGCGCTCGTGGCCCATCCTGTAGCCAAGGGGCAGAGTGGTCGGCCCAGCGGGTTCTGGTCTCTGCCAGCTAGCGACCGCGTGGTCCAGACACGGCTGCTCCATGTGGGTTTGGAGAGAGGCTGCCGGGAAGTCCTGTGGCCTGTTGGTTTCCAGCCAGCCGGCACTGGGGAGCTCTCCTGGCGGGGAGCTGGAATCTGCTCTCGGGGGTTGGGTCCAGTCCCTGGATTCCCGAGGGGTCTGGGTGCGATGCGGCGCTGCGCTCAGGTTGCTTCCTGGCTTGGTTTTGCTTTCATTTTGGCCGGTTGGTTTTGGTGGCTTTACGTGTCTCTTGATTATTTGCTTCTTTTTCATTTTGTCTCTTGTTATGTTTTTATTAGCAGGTCCGTGGGGCGCAGTCACCATTCCCCACCACTACCAAAAGATCCCGCTCCCTGCGCCCAGGGCGGCTGTGCTTAACGGTGACTCCTCGTCCCATCCGTTCCATTTCTTGCCTCCACCTCCACCTCCTCCACCACATTCCCATCAGCCTCTTTTCAGTTCCTTTGGCTATCACAGGCTCTCCCATAGCACTGCAGAGGAGCTGCCTTATGGACCAGGTAGTTCACTGCTCGCTTCATGGGTTTTCATTTGATTTGTGTTGGTTTTTTGGGTTGCCTTCCCCTCCCCCTCGGCTTGCTCTGGTGCGTGTGCGAGCCGGTGTGTCTGCCCAACCCCCACTTTCCTTTCCAGAGCTGCTGTGGCGTGAGTGTGGCATGATGGATGTGTGACGGTCACTCCCCGCCCATGTGGGGGGCACGTCCCGAATGGTCCTTCGGGCTGCAGAACTCCCTAGCGGGAGGGTGGCTGCCGTGAGCAATCCCCACCCTCGGGCCATTCAGTCATCAGTGTTCTGCCCTATAAAGAACCCCGACACGCTTCTGCAGGCAGGGCCTGAGGGGGGGATCCCCGCAGAACGCTCTCCTCATTCTGTCTCCACCAGGCGCCAAACCCCCGTCTTGCAACGGGTGGTCAAAGCGCCATGGTGGGAAACTGCCTGGTACAATTGAGGTCTTAGGTACAGCTGCTGGGGTTCCCTGTCAAGCTGCTGCCCAGAGGCAGCAGGGTCACGGGGAGTCGTTTGGTGGAGAGGGCCATGGGGTGCAGGGGGTCCTGGGCAGGGCTGATGTTCTGAGGCCGTTTGATGACACAGGTGGGGCTGTCTTCTGCCATGGGTCCGCTGGCTCAGTGGGACCAGCTGAGTGTAGGTGTGCGGACCCCGATTTGTTCCTTGCTGGTTTGACACTCTGCGTCCTTTCCTCCCCATCTGCTGCCAGGCAGCCTAGCGCTGTGTCTACCGCAGCAGCTCCCCGGTACACGCAGTGCCAGCCACTCATCTGAATGCCAGGCAGGCAGCCCCTCGACTAGACTGCATCGGTGTGTGTCGCGGGCTGCCCAGCACAGCAAATACTTGGGCTCCTGGAGCTTCTCCTAATTAAGAGCCATGCTAAACATTTAAAGAGCGTGTCTAATTACAACCAAAACCACCGAGCCCTGGAGATTTCTGCATTGCTGCCTGGCGTGCCATCCTCCTGCTCCTTGTGCCAAACCAGTGTCCGACACTGCCCGTCTGTTCTGCACCCACCCTGCACTGCGGTGTAAAGGACACACAAGGGGCCTGGCAGTGGAGGATCGGGCCCGTCGTCAGCAAGAAGCGGCCCCGAGGTGCAGATCTTGGAACTGAGAGAGGTGTTGCGGAAGCCAAGTTCTAGACATGATGTTATGGCTGAAAACAAAACAATGATCAGTTCAAACCCTTCTGTTTTCAGTGCCGGGACGCCGAAGGCACCAGCACTGTGCTAGCTCAGCAGGAGAGCCAGGCGGTGAAACTGACCGTCCGCTTTCCCAGCCCTGGCTGAGGGAGGTGCACAGAGTCACAGAAACGCATGAGAAGAGGGACGTACACAGTGGGCGCTGTTCTGACCCTTCAGGCTGGAACAATCTGCAGGGTCACTGGTGACCCGGGGAGGGAATGGGGAGTTCTCTGCTGACAGCCTGCCCGGAGAGACAAGAATAAATGGGCAATACAGCTAACCCCTAGTGTTAGGCAAGTCCCCCAAGTCGCCGGATTGGCTTGCAATCGGGAGATTGAACGATTCTAATAATTAATGTGTGTGGGGGGGTTCTTTGCTTTCTGGTTTCAGAGGCCTCGGGGTGCACTCAGGTCACATTTCCAGGCTGCAACCACAAGGGTAGAAACTTTCTTTTTAAAAACAGAAGCTGGGACTCTCCCAGAATCCCGTGACTCCGGGAGCTGGGGCTTTAAGATAGACACCAAATACTGCAAGATTTGGCATACTGCAAGCGTGTGGTAACGTCACAGGGTCCGTCTGCCAGGACAGCATGTGCGGGGACTCGCCCAGCAATGTCCTGGCTGCACTGTAGGGTGCATGACAGGGGATGTGGCAGCAGTAAAGGGAAAGCCAACTGGCCTGTGGGATCTCTCCTGGTTACCAATGGGCTGCTAGTTCTTTTTTCAGAGAGCCTTCAAGTGCATGTTTGAACAGCGAAGCAGGAAGCAACTCTCAACAGTCCGGTGAAGTAATTTGAGATCTAAGGGGCCCGAGAGTGGGGAGGTGGGGTGCAAAGGTGACCGGAAGCGTACCTTGATACTCTTCTGATCTGGAGCTGGCTTGGTACCCACTTAGAGCAGCATTGACTTGGGCTAGTTGGGCTGTGCCGGGCGCTGTATGGACCCAGAACACAAGGCTCCAGCCGCCCTGTTTGCATCACCTAGTGCTGGGAGCCGGGGCCCGCTGGCTAAGCTGGGCTGGGTTGGGCTAGCTCTTGCATGGGCGGCTCCGGGCGGTAGGTCACACTTTCCCCTTGGGCAGGCAGTGCTGGGCTGCTGGAGGGTTCCCCGAAAGCTATGCTGGTGAGCGCTGATCCCGCTCCAGCGCATCGGTCTCTGCTGCAGAGCGAAATTCCCCCTGGGCCGGTGGCTCTTGCTTCTCTCTGCAAGCTGGGCCGTGCCCTTGTGTCCACCGCTCGGGGGCTGCCCGGTGGTCGTGGCTGCGGCGAGCTCTGACCGCCAGCACTCAGCAGCCCTGCAGACAGTGAGGAGAGGAAATGGAGACCCCCAACCCTCAGTTCTAGGCAGGGCACGTGTCATTTCCCCAGCTGGAGTGTGCCCGGGGCATGAGTCTAGCACCTGTGCCATGGGATCTTTGATACACACCGAGGGTCCAGACCTCATTCTTATGTCTCCTTAAAGTAGCTAGTCCAGCAGAAGCGTGCCCCCTAGTGCCATGTCAGGGCACCGCCCTACAGGTCTCCCCTGCGAGCACTTCCAGTGCCCTCTCTGCGGGGCTTGTGGGAGCTGGCTGGCTCCCCGCGGAGGCAGCGTGGTTGTCGGGCGCAGTAGCAGTGTGGTCATGTCCCGTCTCTTTGACCAGTTAAGCTCTTTACGTGCATCTAATCTGCCTGGTTGGTTGGTGAGATGGGAGCACGGGAAGAACCTCTTCTCTCTGCAGGCCACATGTGCCGTGCTCAGCGGGGAACCTCGGGCTGGGGACGGCCTGTTAGCTCCTCTCCCTGCCGCTCTCAGGGATGTTCCCTGGTGTGTGCTCCCTGCTGCTGGCCCAGGCCGGGTTGCCCAGCTGGGTTGGTTGTGGCTGCACCTAGCAGAGGTCATTTGATCCCTGTGTTCGGCACTGGGGCGACCGCGGCTGGAATCCCCTGTCCAGTTCTGCAGGCCACAGTGCGAGGAGGCGGCCGATGAATTGGAGAGGGCTCAGAGAAGAGCCGCGAGAACGGTTAAAGGGTTAGAAAACCTGCCTGAGAGTGAGAGACTCCAGGAGCTCCATCCAGCGTAGCAAAGGGAGGGTTAAGGGGTGACTTGATTACAGTCTGTAAACACCTACCAGAGAAACAAATATTTAATATTGGGCCCCAGCCACCCTGTCCTCACTGCTCATTGGTCATTTCTGCCATCACTGGATGTCTCACTCATTGGTCCCCCGCCTGCTCCGTTACCTCAACCGCGCCTGATGTGCAGACGCCGTGTATGCTCCAGGGGGCAGGGATGCTGGCAGCTGTTGGTGCCTTACGTGTGATGTCTCTGGTCAGTGCTGAGATGACGCCAGAAATTCACCCTCTGGTTGAACATTAACCCACAGAGCGCTCCAGGAGGGAATGGGAATGGGGGTGCCGTGGGTGGGAGAGTGCCCTGCTACCCAGGACATGTCTGCACTGTGCACGGAGGACGTCTGTCAGTCCATCACTGAATTCACGGGGAAGAACCAAGGCAAGGCAGCTGCAAGGAAATGCAGAAAGAACTCGCCATAAAATCATGTGGAGGAAAGGTCAATGTGGGGGGGAGGGATAGCTCAGTGGTTTGAGCATTGGCCTGCTAACCCAGGGTTGTGAGTTCAATCCTTGAGGGAGCTATTTAGGAATCTGGGGATTGGTCCAGCTTTGAGCGGGGGTTGGACTAGATGACCTCCTAAGGTCCCTTCCACCCCTCGTCTTCTACTTAGCTGGGTGGGTGCATGCCGAGGCAGCTGCCTGTCATTTTCCCTGTTTAATCTTAGGAAGATTGCACTTTCCTCTTCACCTTCTCCTTCCACTGGCCATTACTCCGCACTGCTGGCCTGCCTGAGCGCTGATGAAGTCCTGGCTAATGCAGAGCAGACAAGTTCCATCTCGTTAAAGGCCGTGCTCCTCTCTTTTCAGCTTCCAGCCCTTGCAATGGCTTTCTCACCCTGCGCTGCAGCCTGTGTGCACACGGAATGCATACAGCTAGGATCTGCAGTGACACCAGCTAGGATGAAATGCACCAGGGCTCTGCTGCTGGGGTCAGGCAGGAACCCCCCCTCCCGGGCCGCGCTGCCGACTCGATTGCTTCTAGTCTCGTGCAGTTAGCCAGGGCTCTGCCAGACCCATGGACTATGGCTATAGATGGCCACAGTTGGGTTTTCCAGGTCCTGGGCATTGCAAGAAGCAGGATATTGGGCCACCTGGAAACAAAAGACAGTGATGTTTGTTCCTTTCAGAGGGCTAATAGAGACAGGAGCAGATGAAAGGTTTAAATTCTGGTCTCAACAAACCTTCCCCTTCCCCGTGGGAGCTGGCAGTCTCTCCCCAGCTGGTTCAGAGCATCACCAGGCCAGGGACATGCTGAGTAATCTCCAGTTTTCTCCATTTCCTTTTTCAACCAGCTTTTCTGTTTCTCTTTCAGGTGCGAGGAAAGAGTTTGCCGAGCCACTTCCCTTTAACTCTGCTTTTCCTGGCGCGGGGGTTGGCAGGGGGATAAGAAATGCATGTTTGTTTGCAGGACTCCCCGGGGGAATGGCTGCATTGAGTCTTTGTGCAGTTGGGTTGAGTTGTTTCTCTGGTGTAATCTGCAACCCCCTCGTTGTGTCGCCCCGCACGCGGGGAAATGGCTGTGCGTGTTTTAAACCCTCCTGTCTGAGAGCCGAACGCCGCCTGCGCCACACCCCCAGTGTGACCCACTTTGAAACTCCCTGCTCCATCGTGACCCATTTGTTACATCGGCTCCCTTGCTGCTGAGAGATGTTTGCAGACCCCACGTGGGGCTCACTTTACATAACACGAGTGGGCTTCCCCCTACCGGCTCTTCAGCAAACATCACAGTGTGGTGCCCAGAGCTGGGCGCTTTGACATCTGCTGTGCAAAGGGAGCTGCCTTCCCCTCCGCTCCCTCAGACCCAGGGCTAGAGAAGAGGGTTTTCCAGGCTTCTAAGCCCAAGGAGCTGCTGAACAAGTCACTGACTGGCCCTTGGAAAGCACAGCGAGCGACTCCTCAGACAAAACAAACACAGGTCTCAGGGAAGGCCAGCGGATGAGGAACTTGGGGCCTTGCGTTGTCACTTCCCAATGGCTCCTAGGTCCCTGTAATCCCAGATGCTCCCCACGGGCTGGATTCAGCTCCCCCTACACACACGCGTGTGTGCCTGCCTCCGTGGGCAGTCCCTGTGTAACACCGACAGACCTCGGTCGTTGATGGGCAGGATCAAACTGGGGACCTCCCAAGCTTAGTGCAGGAGCTGCTACACCATAAGCTACAAGCCAACTGGCTGTAGTTGGCACTGTAGCGCAGACTCATTTAACTCTCTCTCTTCAAGTGGTCGCGGTGCCACTGGATGGGACAGCACCCCAGCCCCAGACGGTGTGTGGGTTACACATGCAGTCAGGGAGGGGCTGCTCAGTGCCAGTCGGGGGGCAGCACTGGAGCTGGCGGGAGGGCGTGACAGCACTGAGGTCGCTGGGTCGTGACTTGTTGTCTGTTCTTATTCAGAGCCCATCCCGGGGGCATTGGGGCCCTGCTGCCCTGGCCAACCACAAGCACTGTGGGTCCAGCCCCCCCTTTACTTTGGGGGAACTGGCACGCCCCCATGAGCAAAGTCGAGCAGATCAGAGCGTTGGGAGGAGCTCTGGCAGCTGCCCTGCAGAGATGTCCCAGGTGGCACCCTCCCTCAGCCCGTTGCAGCCACCCTCCAAGCCTCCGTATGGGGAATGCACAAGTCCTGAGCCTCCCCGGGCAGGCGTTCACTGACCACCCTGCTGTCTGTGGTGGAGGGGCCAGGCCCCAGCAGGGCTCCCTGGCTCCTCTCCAAGGCCTCTCCCAGGGGTGCTGATCCGCACCCCGAGAGCACGCAGGGCTCCGCCCCTCTAGGCAAAGTGTGTGGGGGTCAGCGCAGCCCCCTGCCAAGCCTGGAGCCCGCAGTGCAGACCAAGCCTGGCCCCTGGGGAGCGGGCAGGGTCTGTAGCAAGGTTCCCAATTCTGGAAAAAGAGAATCTGAGCTAGCAACCTCCCGGGTCTGCGCGTCCCCGAGCGACGGCCCGGCCCACTGGCTCTGCACTAGTCAGGATCCAGTTCGCGAGAGACTCCAGCCTTCGACGTCTGTCTTGCCCCCCGTCCCGTCTCCTTGCTGTGCCAGGAGGCTGACTGGGTGGGACCGTTCAGCTCCGTCGTCCCCACAGCGACTCTGAGCTGCCTTCTCCCAAATCCGACCTGGCAGCAGCTTCCCACTGGCTGGGGGGGACACGGGCTCTCGCTCCGGGGTGACCGGTGAATGTCCGAGGGTGGGGAGCGTCCTACTTTAGCAGGAGTTTGCTGCTCCAGGGTCATGTGGGCCAGGGAGCCAGGCTAGGGCCGGGCCGTGTCAGCCCCTGTCTGGCAGAGGGGTCACCGCAGAGCTGCGGCTGGTGAATTCTAGCACGGTGGCTCGTAGTGATGGGACAGAGCTCTCGGGTCCCTTGTGGCCCCTTTCCCCCAGCTAGTGCCTGGGCCCCCCCCCCGAACATATGTTGTGGGGCTGGCTGTGCGGAGAACCGGGTATGAAATGTTCTGGAGCAGGCACGGCCCAGGAGGCGCCTGCCTTCGGTCTGATTCCTGCTAGGCAGCCTAAACTACCCTTCACCCACTGCTCCTCATCCTCCCCCCGTGTGAAAACGCTGCCCGGGGCAGCGGCAGCACCTTTTCCATGGCACGTCTCAGATGCCTCCTGAGAGCCAGTGCCGGGGCTGGGGGCTGCGCTGTATTGTCTCTGTGCGCAGCCCCATTGCTGCCGGCTGCACCATGCCGTGCTCACCACAGCCCTGGAGAAGCCCGTCCTCCACGCGGGTCTCCCTCGTGCACCCCTGTGGTGAGCGCAGAGTGGGGCCCGCCGGCGCTTGAGGAAATAACCTCTGGGAGCGTAGACTCAGCAGTGCTTTACCAGCTGCCCGTCTGGTCCCCGCTGCAGCCACTCTCGCTCGGCGCACGCCTGCCATTGTCAGCCGAGTCTGGTCTCGCACCCCTCGCTGAGTGAAGGGTTCGCTTTACCGGGGGCTGTTGTGTGTGGAGAGCTCCCAAAGGGGTCCTTACAAATGTGTGCCCTGCGCGCTGGCCAAGGGGCGATGGAGGGTCTAGTACCTGCTCCGCCGCCAGGGCTGGGCAACGGACTTAAAAGAACCAGAGAGGCTGGTTGCCTTGCTGCTCTGCGAGCCGGGGGCACCTGCCCTCTGGTCGGCGGGGAGGGCGCCAGTGCTGTGGGGCGGGGAGAGGAGCTGTTGCAGGGCCCAGCTGCCCTGGAACTTCATGCCAAGGCAGCGTCTCCTCCCTGGGCCTGTGGTGCCCGTGGGCACAGTGCCTGGCAGTAGCTAGGCTGGGAGGCCGCCCCAGGAGGCCAGTGGGGTTGGTCAGCGGAAGGGGCCACTTGGGGGGCAGCGGGGCAGTGGTTCCGTGCTATGCCCAGCCAGACTACCTGGGTCACGCAGCTGACGCCAGCCTGTGATTGTTCCCCTGTCACCAGCCTGCGTTCCCAGCAAGTGCCCCCCCGCCCCGGGTGCGCGTCTGGGTAAGACTGCACTGGTCCGCACTGCTACCCCCCTTCTCACCGCCACTCTCTCCGCTCTGCTCCGAAGGTTCCCGAGGGTCCGACAGCCCGTCGCATCTGTCGCCGTCGCAGGGCGGATCCGCTGCCACGCCGGCTCCGGTGGAAGAGATCTGGGTGCTGCGCAAACCCTTTGCAGGTACAGCCGCCTTTGCGTCTCTCTGGCCCCCGCGCCCTGGGAACCGCTGCTGTCCAGCGGCAGGCTGGCGTTCTGCTGGACTCCCCTGCGGTGGTGCTTGTCAGCGGGCTGAGCCGTGCCGACAGGAGGCTCCGAAACACCGGCTGGTGCTGGGGCCCCAAAGCCCGGCCGCGCCCAGCAGCAGGGGGTCCCCGCGGTGTGCGGAGACGTGCCCTGCCAGGCGGTGACAGACGGCCGTCACCCGCTATCTAACCCTCCCTCTCCGTTGGCAGGTGGGGACCGCAGCAGCCTGGGGAGCACAGGAAGCGTGGCCAGTGCCCGGAGCTCGGGGAGCGGGCAGAGTACGGGAAGTGGCAGCCATGCCCTGCATGCTGGCTCCGAAGGGGTCAAGGTAAAGGCACTTGGGTATGCGGAGGCAGCAGGTAACCCTTGGCCCCTGTCTCCCCAGGGAGCCCTGGCAGCGGAGCGCGGTGGTCTCCCGTCCTCCCCCACCCTGGAGACGCTCTCAGCGTATGCACCTGATGTAACGAGAACTGCCAGCCCCTCGCCAGGCACCCGCTCCCTGCCTGGGTGCCAGATGGCCCAGAGCGCTCCATCCCTCTGGCCTGCCCCTGTGTCTGTCCCATGGACGCTGGGCATGTTCCTGCCCTTCGCTCAGTTTGGATGGCGAGGCCAGGCAGGCCTGCACGGGGCTTCTGTGTTTGGCTGCCCAGCCCAGCGGGGGCAGGATGACACGGCAGATGCTAAGCCCTGCACATCCATTGGTCCCCGCCGTGCTCCTGCAGCCTGCTCCGGGCCTGGGGGTTGGGCGCAGAACGCTGGGCCCAGCTGCACTCCGGTTCTGTCTGCTGTAGCCCTCCCCTAGCGGGCTTTGTGCCCTCCAGCACCATCCTGGCCCTCCATCCCGCTGGCCTGCCCCTCTCTGAGGCTGTCCAGTGGGAGTGGCACCAGGGCTGACTTTGGGGGTAGGAGATCCATCCTATGCGGGCTGCTCTGTCCTTCCCTTCCCTGCACCTTCTCCATGGGCAGGGCCGGCTCTAGGGTTTTTGCCGCCCCAAGCGGCGCAAAAAAAAAAAAAAGAAGCCGCGACCGCGATCGGCGGCGGCAATTCGGCGGGAGGTGGGAGTGAGGGACCGTCCGCCGAATTGCCGCCGAATAGCAGGACGTGCTGCCCCCTCCGGAGTGGCTGCCCCAAGCACCTGCCTGGCAAGCTGGTGCCTGGAGCCGGCCCTGGCCATGGGGCAGAGGGTCCCCAGGCTGCAGCTGGCTGGGCTCTGCTGCCTCTACTCAGCCACTCGGCCCCTGGCTCCAGACGCCTGCCCTCCCCCCAGGACTCTGGAACCACCGGGCAAGGGGGCCAGGCTCTGGGTAAGCAGGCCGAGGGGGCCCCTCCCTGCTCCCCGTGGCTGCGGGAGGCTGGGGCTAGGTGTACGTGAGGCTGGAATTGGGGTGTCCCGGATGGAGCTGCAGCTCCTGCCATCACTTGCTGGAGGCGAAGCACCATCTGTGCTGTGAGCTGTGTTCTCACACACTCCCCACTGCATCCAAAATCTGCCGCGCCCCTCCCTGCCCGCCCGCGCCTCCGGCTCCGGCTGCCGCAGCGTTAGCAACACATAGTCTCTGGCTCCTGACAGGCCCCCCTCCCCAACCCCCCTTCCCCTCCCCATTTTTTACCCGTGGTGGTGTATTTTTTCAGCTGCTGGCGACGGTCCTGTCCCAGAAGGCGTCGGTGCAAGAGTCTGTGGTGGGTGATGGGCCGGGCAAGGCCCTGGAGGCTCCTGCAGGTGCGTGGCTGGCGGCTGCCTGGCCGCTCGGAGCAGGGCTGACCCTTGGTACCTACGAGGGCTTGGCGCTGATTTTTTTGCTCCTGTTGCCCAAGAGGAAAGCGCGTGGGTAAAATGACGCTCTCGCCTTTCTGCTGCTGCCAGGCCTTCTCCTGCTTCGGTTAGTCGGGGGCCGGGGGGGCTGGGGAGAGTGAGGGGGTGTCCTGGTGTGTGCTCCACCTCCAGGCTGTTGGCCTGGCCACGCTCCAGGTCCACCGAGGGAGCGAGGGGCGGCCCGCGGCCCGCAGGCTCGGCGCTGCTGCCAGAGCCGTCTGTTGGTCGCCGGTCCCTGCGTGCCAAGAAGCATCGTGTGTGGTGTGTGTGTATGACTGGTGTGTGTGCACGCCTGATTGAGGTGCATTGGGGTGTGTGCACAGGGTTGGGGTGGTGGTGTGTGTATGATTGGTGTGTGTGTGTGTGTGTGCGCGCACGGGGTTGGGGTGGTGGTGTGTGTATGATTGGTGTGTGTATGGGGGGGGGTTGGAGGTGTGCGTGGTTGGGGTGTGCATGTGCGTGTGATTGGTGGCTGTGTGCCGTGGTGGTTGGGGTGTGTGTGTATGGGGGGCTGGGGTATGTGGTGTGTGTGTATGGTTGGTGTATGTGTGTGGAGGGGTGTGGGGGGATGGGGGTGCATGTGTGTGAGGGGGGTTGGGGAGTGCGTGTGTGTGGTTGGTGCATGTGTGCCGTTGTGGTGTGTGTGTGATTGATTGGTGTGTGTGTGATTGGTGTGTGTGTGGCACGGTGGTGTGTGTGTATACGATTGGTGTGGATGGGAGGGTTGGGGTGGGGGTGGTTGGGTGTGTGGTTGGGGTATGTGTGTATGGTGTGTGCGTGTGTATATGATTGGTGTGGGTGGGGGGTTGGGGTATGTGTGTGGTTGGGAGGGGTGCGTATGGTGTGTGCGTGTGTATAGTTGGGGTGGTGGTGGTTGGTGTGTGTGTGTGGTGGTGGGGGTGTGTGTGAGGGGTGGGGCGGGGTGGGGGTTGCTGCTCACCTCCATGCTGGAAGCATCCAGCCATTTTACCAGCCCGATTGCAAAGTGCTTAACTTGGGCTGCAGGTTCCCCGGGGGCTGGGAACTCGGCCGAGCCGGCAGGTCGCGCCCATCACTAAACCCTTCGGGTTCCCTCCCCTGCCCTGGCTGCCGCCCCACGACACTGCTAGAACGAGCGGTGGGAGTTCTCAGCCGGGCCCCGGGAGCTCCCATGGCTGGCTGCTGGCTCGCAGGGGGAGGGGAGAGCAGCCCTAAACCGAATGCCGTAATCCCTGTGGGTCAGAGCCGCTCCCTCCTCTGGACCTGGAGCTCCCCGAACCTGAGGAAAGAGCTAGGCTGGGGGTGCTGAGCAGAGCCCCCCAGCAGGGCACCGCCGTGGTAACGGGGCTGGGGAAGGGCCAGTTTCTGGTCGGAACGTCCTGGCCTTTGCGTGCGCTCTGGTCCAGGGCCAGTGCCCAAAAAGCAGCGTCAGACCCAGGGCCCCGGGGCCGTTCTAGGGTCTGATACGCGGCTCTCCTCAGGGCGTCAGACCCAGGGACCCGGGGCCGTTCTAGGGTCTGATACGCGGCTCTCCTCAGGGCGTCAGACCCAGGGACCCGGGGCCGTTCTAGGGTCTGAAACGCGGCTCTCCTCAGGGCGTCAGACCCAGGGACCTGGGGCCGTTCTAGGGTCTGGAGGACGGGTGCACTGCACCCGTGGCAGGCCGGCACCCTGGCTCTTGTCAGGTTCATATCTTGTCCTGACATGGCCTAGGACAGTGAAACTCAGACTGAGGCAAGTGGCACGTGAAGTTACACCACTGTGTGATTGGTTAATAACGTCGATTGGTTAATAATTCAATCAGGAGGCTTTTACTGTGTTATTACCCAATTGTAGTGGATAAAATAATGATGCTTGGGCAGTCATTTTCTGTGGGAATCTGTAGCACTGGAGGAAGTGAAACACTGAATTCACATGACTGAGGCTCTCTTGGGAATGTTGGTGGCTAATTTGGCTCCTGCCCCCCGAGGTCTGAGCATCGCTGCCCTAGGATATGGCATGGGTGCTCCAGACCGCGTCGTGCTGATGGCCATCTTGCCTCTGTTCCACATGAGTCCTGATGGCTGCCTCACTGAAAGCCCAAAGGCTACAAACGGCTGCTCCTTGGCAGCCCAAGGGGCTAGGAATGCCAGCGCCCCAGTGGCAGGAAGCGAGCCCGAGAACCCTTAAGGGGGACAGCCCCAGCGTGCATGCAGACATCCCTCACGAAGTTCAGAGGAGGGTGGGAGGAAACGGAAATGCCGCACTCTGCTCTTACTCCAGATCTCCCCATTTACGGGAGGATTCCCAAGCACCCCACAGACATGAATGGGTTCTACAGGAAAGGCGCCCATTGCTGAAATGCAGCCACCACTGGGGAGGAGCTTGGCAGCCACGCCGCACAACAATTTAGGACAAGCGAGAGAGTGTTCCTCATCCAGTTGGACCTACTGGGGAATTGGGTCTCCCGTACTGTCCTGGGGCCAGGACCCCCAGGCTGACACCCCAGACAGAAGTGCCGTGGGGTCTTTAATGCCTCTGCAGGGCCTGCCAGTGCAGCGTTCCCAGCCGCTCTGACCATTCCCTTTGCCTGCTTTGCAACAGGTTCGTCTCGCACTCAGAGCCTGGCCAGCACGCCCTACGCCGGGCAGCCACCCGCTGAGCAGCAGCTGAAGAAGATAGAGCCAATGTCAGAAGGGAAGGTAAGAAGGTGGGAGCCCACCTGGCAGCTGATTGAATCCAGCCGGAAGGGGGAACGGGCCTTTAACACGAGGCAGCCCCCATCTGCCAGGCTCGCTCGGTGCAAGGGAAGGGACTGGCAGGCCAGTGTCACCGCCCAGCGCGCCCCGGCCCTGGCCGGCTTGTCCTGGCTCACATGCCACTCGATTTTAGCGATCACTCCCTTTTCCGGCGAGTGGCAGAGAGAGCTGCCTCCTGCCCTCCGAGTCAGGCTCTGATGCGCTCGCTCTGTCCGTCGCCTGCGTAGGGTGGCCAACTTTCTAATCGCCCAAACCTGAACACCCTTGCCCCACTCCTGCCTGCCTCTTCTCCGGGCCCCGCCCCTGCTCACTCCATCCCCCCTCCCTCCGTCGCTTGCTCTCCCCCACCCGCACTCACTTTCACCGGGCTGGGATGGGGGAGGGGAGGGGTGCAGGCTCCGGGCGGCACTTACCTCGGGCGGCTCCCAAAAGCAACCGGCATGTCCGGCTCCTAGGCTCAGAGGTGGCCAGGTGGCTCTGTGCCCTGCCCCTGCCTGCAGGCGCCTCCCCCGCAGCTCCCATTGGCTGCGGTTCCCGGCCAATGGGAGCTGTAGAGTCGGTGCTCAGGGCAGGGGCAGTGCGCAGAGACCCCCTGGCTGCCCCTGCACCTACCAGACTTGCCGGTTGCTTCCGGGACTCGCGCAGAGCCAGGGCAGGTAGGGAGCCTGCCTTAGCCCCACTGCACCGCCGACCGGACTTTTAGTGGCCTATTAAGTTCTCCCGGATGGCTTTCAATAGTCACCGGGAGATTGATGCCGATTCTGGGAGACTCCCAGCCAATCCGGGAGACTCCTAGCCAATGAGTCAGGACCAGGCAGCCGGCGATCTGCCCGCTGGGGCTCCGGGGTGGGCTCTCAGATGGCCAGGTGAGGAAAAACCTTCCCCGCACAGGATGGGCCACTTGCTTTGTGGAAGAGGCGAGCTGGCCCGGGGCACAGCGGATGTGCCTGCAGGGGGCGCCGCGTTGAGGGAGTTCTGCCCCCTGGGATTCTCCCCCGGCTTAATTTTCCGAGGCAGGACCTGTACTTGCCCGGCGTTCACCTCCTCCCAGAGAGGGTCCTCTCTCTGCAGCGGCCCATGCCCAGGACCGTGGCCTCAGCTGGGGAACAGTGCAGCGGGAGCTAGTGAGGTCCCGTGGGCCGCTCCTGTTTCACTCTCCCCACCTGAGTTCACATGCGGTTCGGTGGCCGCCCAGTGGGCAGGTCTAGATGCTGTTCGGGTGTCACAGGAGAGTGGCTGATCGTCGACTCTCACCTTGGAGCTGTTTATTATTAATGGCAGTGGCTCCCCGTCCCAATCTGGCACGCTGCCCTGCACAGGTCACCCCACTGAGGTCAGGGGTGTGTCGAATGCCAGGATATGGACTCTCGCTGGGGAGCCCAACTCAGATCAAATCACACAGACCTTTATCAATCTCCGCCTGGGGGTGCAGAGCTCCCAGCTTCTCCCCAGCCCCACATCCTAATTCGTTATGTGCCCAGCCCCACAGCTGCCCTTCCCCCAGCCCAGCAATTCTGCCCCCCAATCCCTACATCTGCCCCTTTGGCAGCTCCAGAGGTTCTGGTGTTGCAGGGAGGGGGGGCCGTTTGACCCATTGCTCACGGCGAGGGGGGCTCTGGAGAGGAAGTGGGCCCTGCGAGCGGCTCTCAGTGCGGGAGTGCAGGTGGGGGTCGGGGCTGGCTCTGCGCAGGGCAGGGGGATGCCATGTGCTGAGTGCGTTGTCTGCAGCCCTCGGCTCAGCCGTCACATCTCGGCAGCGGCACGGCGGGGTCCCCTCCCCGGAACCACCGTTCCGGCGCCCGGGGCGAGAGTCGCACGTTGGCTGAGCACCTCAGACAGCTTCCCTCATTGTGCTGCCACCTTCGCTTCACAGCTTCCTGGGGCGGCGGGACGCTGCGAGGAGCGTGGCGCGACGGGGTGCAGAGAGCGCAGGGGTGGGCAGGGACCTGGGGCGCGCTGGGGAATTGCGGGGTTCCGAAGGGCCTCGCCGTGCTGGGCTGAGGGAGGGGGAGGAAATGCTGCTGGAGTGATTCTCGGGGCTGGTGACGGGGTGAATGACTCGCCTGCCTCTTGCTGTGAGGCCCCAGGGCAGAAGGGGACCATCTAGCAATTCTCCTACAGGCTCCTTCATGTCCCAGGGAGTTCCCCAGGCTCCTGCCCCTCTTCCATACAAAGCCCAGGGGAGAAGCTGGGGTCAGGCGCCTGTCACAGACTCAGCCTGGAGGTTCTTTCCCTGCTAAATCCTGCCGGTGGCTGGGCTCTCGCCTCTCCTATCCACGGGGATTACAGCCGGGAGCCTCTGGGCTGTGCCTGACTGCAGCTCCCTCTCCCCCAACTGCTGGATCTAGGGGGGCAGCCCATGGGGTGGTGGGTGGTGTACGCGGATTGGCTGGGTGCCGTCTGGCTGGGCAGTGCCAGTGACCCCCGTTCTGCCTCGCCCCCAGAGCTCCGAGGCCGTGTACCAATGGCTTTGCAAGTTCCAGCTGCAACTGTACGCGGCCAACTTCATCAACGCCGGGTACGACATCCCCACCATCAGCCGGATGACGCCAGAGGTGAGGCCGGGGGGGGCGCTGAAGGGCGAGGGGCCCCCCACTGAGCTCTCCTTGCAGTGGCACGGGGTCGGGTCCAGAGAGAGAGCATAGATCCCTTAGGTGAAGGGCGGAGGAGGGGCTGCAGGCTGGGCTGGGAGGCTCTGCGACGTGGGGTGGGACGCCCAGCTTTGCTGGCTCCCGGCCTTCTAGACGGTAAAAGGGAAAGGGGATCGTTCCAGACCGAGCTGAGTGGTACGGGGGGACGGGGGACTGGGAGCCGTGCCGGGCATGGGGCGGGTGCGGCGCTCATGGGCAAATCCAGGCTGAGCTCCCATCTTTGCAGACGAGTTCAGATCCCCAGTTCGGCGCTTAGCCCCCCCAGAGCTGCTGGGACAGGCCCATGTCTCTCCCCCTCCCCCCTCGGCACACGCCTGTGGCCGGGTGGGGGGCTGGTGTGTGAGAAGTGCCGGGAGGGGCCAAGGGCGGCTCTGCATGGGGGGCTGGTGCCCTGGCCCCACCCCCTGGTGTCGCCGTGCTGCAGCAGCATTACCAGCGCCCGGCGAGCCCTGGGGCTGGGTGGGCACAGAGTCCACGGGCGCTGGGCGCTCTCACAGGGGACGCTCCGGGCCTCTCCAGGGCGCTGAGTCCCCACAGCTCACACTGTGGTTGATCGCAGGCCAGCAGCGTCCCATTGAGCTCGGAGCAGCACCCAGAAGGGCTTGTCCCAAGCTGCTGGGCGCCGGACTGGGGCGCCCGTGAGCTGCTGGCGGGTGGGCTGGGACTGGCCCCGAGGACAGCTCTGAGCGGCTGGGTCCAAGCTCCGTCCTGAGGCTCCCAGCCCTGCCGCACTCCCCTAGCGGCCTGGCGATGTGGGATGGCACGTCGCAGGGCTGCTCCAGACGCAGCTCTGGGGGCGTTTCCCCGTTCTCGCCAGAACCTGGGGCATGATCCCGGCAGGGTGACTGGGCGGGGACCCCTCAGCCTGCCCTGAGAACACGGGGGCGAGGGAGCTAGCCCTCCTCCCCTGGTCTCCGGATCTAGAGCCGCTTTAGAGAGGCTGACGCTGGGTGTCCTGGCTCCAAAGGACGGCTGAGCTGAGCTCTGCCTTTCCAGCCGGAGTCCGCCTGTGTGTGATGTTGGGGGAAATGCCACGGGACCCAATTCGTTCACTCCTAGCAGTGCGGTAGCATCCAACGGCCTCTTGTGGGTGGGGCCCCTCTGCTCTGGGTGTGGTGTGTGTGCGCGCGCACACACACACACGCAATCTCTGCCCTGCAGAGCGTGCCCTTGGCTTTGCCAAGCCAGAGCCTGCCTTCCTTCCCACTAGGAGAATGCCGTTTGGATTGGTTTCCCATCTCCACGGAGAAGATCCATGTTTATTGTAAAGCATTTTTTCATTTGCATCGATTTTAACTTGGGGGGAATTATCGGGGGTGTGTGTGTGGAGGTCAGGCAAAGGGGGAGGGGCTCAGACCATAATTATTGAATGACGATAGCTGTTGAGACCCAAAAAGTTAAAACTTTGTAACTGTTAAAACGCCAACACGTCGCATGTCCACGTGCACAAAGTCATTAGCCTCGCGCTCTAACGAGTTCTCAACCTGCCTTGTTCTCACTTCTCCTGCCTGCTGCTCTCCGTGGGGGTCCCTGGAAGGATTGTTGTGGGTTTGGGTGTACAGCGAAATCGCCATTTGCCGATAAAAACCTCACCCTTCCGAGCCCACTCCCACGCCCCTTGGAACGGAGAGGTGGCCTGCGGCAGCTGACGGCCTGCGCTCTTCTACGGGGGCTGCCAGCGCCGCGCGGCTAGGCCCTGCTTGTGCGGGGAAGGTGACGGTGTCTGTCTGTGCCCTAGGACCTCACTGCCATTGGCGTGACGAAACCCGGACACAGGAAGAAGATCACCTCGGAGATCAACAGCTTGAACATCCCTGAGTGGCTTCCGGAGTACAAGCCGGTACGGCTCCCCCGGAACGCTCCCTGCCTGTCAGCTTTGCCCTGTTGGCAGGTTTCCCTATGGGGCATGGGGTCGCCGGGCTAACCACCCCGGGGTGTACCTACCTCGCTCTCCCACCCGGGGATGGCCTGTGGCTCTTTAACTGCTGGAGATAGGTGAGGCCTGGACCCCGTCTCCTTGCCATGTGGGTTTGGTCCCCGTGTTGCAGCCTGTTTAGTTTGGGACAGCGTCCCGGTGCGGCGTGGAAGGGTCCTCTCCCGGCGCATTCAGAGGTTCCAGTCCTCTCCCAGAGAGCAGTGAATGCTGTCCACCCAAGAGAGGAGCTTTGCCTGGATCTCCCCGAGCTCTGAGCACAGGTCTGGGTGCCCTGTCCTGGAGGGGACCCCGAGAAATGCAGGGGACATGGCTCCGGGGCGCTGGGTTGATCGGGATGCCAAGGGAGGGGAACCCCGGGGCTAAGCCATCTCCAAGCGAAGGGGCAGGGAGATGGACAAGGAGGCTGGAACTAGGAGCAGAGAGTGAATTTAGACAGAGTCTGAGGAAACCCCCTTGTGGTGCAGTGCTCTCCCATGGGAAGGGGTGGGAGCCCGGAACTAGACTGAATACCATGCTGGAGAACAGAGCCCAGGCAGCGTCCTGCCGCGAGGCTGAGCTAGTGGGTTCCGATTCGCTGCCTGGCACCTGGGGCGCGGTTCCCAGGCAGGCAAGGCGGGTGCACAGACCTGAACGCTGGCACGTGGTGCTGGTGCACACAGATGCACAGGAGACTCGGGCCCCAGGGGCAGGAACGTCATTGGCTAGATTATAAAGCTCTCAGCTGCAGTAACCTCGGGGGAAGGGAAGGCGTTAATGCCAGGTCATGGCATAGGTATTACCCCCACGCTGTCCCTTTAAATGGTGTCGGGTCCGGGCCAAAGCACCGTTCTCCCTTTGCCTCCTGCCCCCTGTAGGCCAACCTGGCTCTCTGGCTCTCCATGATTGGCCTGGCCCAGTACTACAAAGTCCTGGTGGAGAACGGCTACGAGAACATCGACTTCATCACGGACATCACGTGGGAGGATCTGCAGGAGATCGGGATCACGAAGCTGGGTAATGCGGGCCTGGGCATGGGCACTGGAATGGAAGGGCTCCCCGAGGTGGGGAGGGGATTCTCATACCAGAAGCTAGGCTCAGAGGATGCTGTGGCACCCTGGGGTGCACCTAGGCCTCGCCTCTCCCACCCTGTGCTGTGCTCTGTTAACCCCTGGTGTGCCGTACCTTGCTTCACACCCAAAGCCTGCAGCGTCCAAAGCAGGGCCAGGCTGTCTATTAGAGCAGCTGCAGGGCTCACAGCACCTTCCCGCTTGGCCATGTCAGGACGTTCCCTAGCTCTGGCATCCTCCCGACCTCCTGGGGGTCTTGTGTGCCATGAGCCGGTGCCTGGACTTCACTGCTCCCGGTGCCGTGAATCAGGAGCCGCCTGCAGCTGCCGTGACATGCAGGACTCACCGCTCCCGTTGTGGTTACTTTTGCAGCCTGACGTTTCTGCATGCGGTGACTGATTCCTTCCCTGCCCCAGGTGCCCGCGTCAGCGAGAGGTGCCCGGTCGGAACACGAATGCCCAGTGAAGACCTGGGATGGTGATGCTATCGCAGCATGTGTGCTGTGCCTCCAGGGGACCTGGAGAATGGGGCCCTTGCTGTAGAGGGAGGAAAGCAGACAGATGCTCTTGTATCTTGGTTACCACACGCACCCTGTCGACTTGGCCGACATCCCAGTGCAGCTTGGGCACAATCCCATTGAAGTCAGCACAGTTGCACCCAGGGGAACTTGGCCCAGAGCTGTGTAGCCATGTATTTACACCGCTATCGCAATGCGGGTCAATTTCCCTATGTAGACAAGCCCCAGATCGTACACTGCTGGCTCCTAGATAACGCACCAGCCACACCATGCGAGCTCCCAGTACGATGCCGTGGCCAGACGGGCGGGTGGGACGCTTGACTAGAGAAACACGGGAGCAGGGAGGTGATTTTACCCCCGGGTGCAGCATTGGTGGGACCGATCTTGGCATGCTGAACCCAGGTCGGGCATCCCCAATTTAAAAAGGATGTTGGCCAATTGGCGAGGGGGCCGAAAAAAGCCACAAAACGGATTGGTGGGGTGGAGAGAATGGCGGGCAGCGAGAGACTCAAAGAGCTCTATCTGTAGCTTACCACAGGACGGTCAAGAGGTGATTTGGTTAGAGCGTCAGCTCGGTGACAATATACCGGCTGCTAAAGGGCCTTCAATTTAGCAGAGAAAGACAGAGCAAGAACCAGTGCTGGAAGCCAGGCAAATTCCCATTAGAAATAAGGCAGTGAGGGAGATTAAGCAGTGGAGCAAACTCCCAAGGGAAGTGGTGGATTCTCTAACATTAAAGGTGACATTAAAGCCACCAGTGCAGAGAGCACGTGCAGTTGGTTGTTAGTGGAAATTGGTGGTGGGTTCAGTCCCTGAGTCAGTCTCTGGGTTTTTGACATATTCATGCAAGTAACCTCAGGTTTAGGAAGTAAGGTAGCGATGCCGTCTGTCGTGAGCGCGGTCTCTGGTCCTGGCCGGCTCTGGGCGGATCGCTACGCTTTGCACCCGCGTGGCGACGGGACGGCCGAGGCCAAGAACAACCAAACTGAGCAAGGCAGCCAAGGTGGGTTTGCGGGGGAGGAGAGATCAGGGTTCATAACGGCGCTTGGAGCACGTAAAGGAGCAATGCCTGGAGATAGCGGGCGTGTATAGCTCCCGGAGATTGAGAAGCCAGCTAATGGAGGCTCTGTAAGCTCAGATGGGAGCTAGAAAACCCATCAGCCTCCTCTCTGCTGGGAGAGATTCTCCTGTCAAGGGCCCCCGTGGTTGGCTGCCTTCCTGCTCACCAGAACCGCCAGTTGCTTCAGTTAGGGGGGTTGTTGCTTCACCCCAGATCTTCCCCTGCCTAGCCGCTGGGTGCTGCGCCGTGATTCCCAGCAGGAATAGTCCCCACGCAGCCGGGAAACAAACACAACGGTTAAAGGGCTGGAAGTGTTGGCTCAAATCCAGCCCCGGGGTCGGGGTCAGTGGGAACCAGCTGTTGCAGAACCTAAGGGGGCAGCCTGGCTTCCAGGAGAACCCCTGCGCTGTGCTGACGGAAACGGGCTGCTGGGAGGGAAAGATTGTCAAAGGACTTTAAAGGAGTTGGGCCCACAGGCAGGGCCGTCTCCAGGCACCGGCCTGGCAAGCAGGTGCTTGGGGCAGCCACTCCGGCTCGGAGCAAAGGACCTCCCGCCGAATTGCCGCGGCAGATCGCGGTCGCGGCTGCTTTTTTTTTTTTTGGCTGCTTGGGGCAGCCAAAACCCTGGAGCCGGCCCTGCGCGCAGGCCTAAATCAGTAGGCCTGATGTGCCTAACTCCCTGAGGCCCCTTGAGAGCCCCTCCCTGCAGCAGAGCGGGGCTGTGCCTCAGGGCTGGAAAGGGGAAGGGCGAGACCCCAAAGGGACGGGCATGTCTGTGCAGAACAGGAAGAGCCGGAGCTGGGGTAGCCAATGCTAACTCAGCTGTTGGCAGGGAGATTAAACCTCCTGCTTCAGGGCTTTAGCCAAACGCCGCCTGTTAGAGACCAGGATGAGACCTAGTATGGGGGGCAGGTTCTCCCACATCCACTCCTGCGGGGGTCCCTGCACCTCGCTCTGAACCAGCCAGACACAGGATACTGGGGGAGATGGACCGTGGGTCTGATCTACTGCGGCAGTCCCTAGGTTCCTATGAAATCATTTCTGGTTTAATGATCTAAGGACTCCTTCATCGGAGGCCACCTGAGTCAAATCTGCTTTCATGTCACCAGTGGAACTCCAGAGAACTCGGCTGACACCAGTCAGGGGCCCCCCAATGTGTCTCTAACCTGACAGTCTCCTTTTAGTTAAAACACCCTAAAATACACAGCCCCGGTTAAGCTGCCAAGGCCCCTCCCCAGATGCTCTGTGGGAGACGAGCGTTCACTCAGGGTGTGGGCATGGCTGGGTTGGGCCGAGACAGCCGTCCCGGAGGAATGAGCGTCACTATCCATGGGCCAGCACCGGGCCCTGTGGGTTTGCTGGTGGGACGAGTCACTCCCCATTGGTTAATGCCTCCTTGTGCCATGTGTCCTCCCCCCCTTCCAGGCCACCAGAAGAAGCTGATGCTGGCGGTGAAGAAGCTGGCAGAAATCCAGAAGGCCGAGTACGTCAAGTACGAGTCGGGGACCCTGAAGAAGAAAGCGCCCCAGTCTCTGGACGTGCTGGCCATCGAGTCCCCCCAGCAGGAGAACGCCGAGTGCCAGTCTCCCAAGATGACCACCTTCCAGGACAGCGAGCTGAGCAACGAACTGCAGGTGGCCCTCACGGGCACGGGCGAGGCACCCGAGGGCCAGGAGAAGCAGGCGAACCATGTGGCACATATCCGGGATGGAGCAGGCTACCGGGGTCCCTCCTCCAGGCACGTGCATGAGAACAGCCTGAGCGGCCGGGCCAAGCACATAAGCAGCTCCCAGGAGCTGCTGGGGGACGGGCCCAAGGGGCCAAGCGCAGCCATGTCCAAGAGCCAGGAGTACCTGACGGAGGAGGTGAAGGAGGGGCCCCCCAGCATGCCCAAGGAGGTCAGGCCCATGCGGCATGGGCATACCGTCAAGAGAGCCAGCGTGCCCCCGGTGCCAGGCAAGCCCAGGCAGTCATTCCCCCCGGCCGGAGGGCGCTTCACCCCACCGCAGACGCCCACCAAGCCGCGGCCGTCCTCGCCCCAGACGCTCATCGTGCCCCACGCCACGGCCAAGGTCAAGCCCACGCCGCAGCTCCTCCAGCAGGCTGACCGCCCCATGTCGCCCCGGTCCCTGCCTCAGTCCCCCACCCACAGGGGCTTTGCCTACGTCATGCCGCAGCCCGTGGAGGGCGAAAGCCTCGCCGGGCACCCACCGGGCCCTGTGGCACAAGGAGTCCCAGTCCTGCCAGTCTCGGTGCCCGTGCTGTGCCTACCGCCGCAGAGCGGGGAGGCAGAGGAGGAGCTGGGCAGGCCGAAGAAGCGCGCGCACAGCCTGAACCGCTACGCCATGTCCGACAGCGAGCAGGAGCGAGATGAGCTGCTGGTGCCGGACGCCGGGCCCTACGCCACCGTGCAGCGGCGGGTGGGCAGGAGCCATTCGGTGCGGGCGCAGTCGGGCGGAGACAAGAATGTCAACCGCAGCCAGTCTTTCGCCGTCAGGCCCAAGAAGAAGGGGCCGCCCCCGCCGCCCCCCAAGCGCTCCAGCTCTGCCATCTCCAGCACCAATATGGCCGACGACTTCAGCAAGGAGGGGGAAGGGGACGTGCCCGGCGGGGAGGATGAGGAGGGGCAGGAGAGTTACCGGGAGCAGCGGCGCGCGAGCGACGTGGGGGGCAGCGTGGACACAGGCAGCGCGGGCAGCGTGAAGAGCATCGCCGCCATGCTGGAGATGTCCTCTATTGGCGGGGGCGCCCGGGCGCTGGCCCTGCAGAAGCCTCACCCAGGAGGAGGCGGGAAAGGACCCGAAGGCTACTACCTGCACCCTGCTGGCGCCATGCACCTGGCCAGCCCGGAGCATTCCCGCGTGGCCGCTGTCCTGGCCACTGTGAAGCACAAAGACGCCATCGGCCTGGACGGGGAGGTGGTGAACCGGCGCAGGACCATCAGCGGCCCCGTGACCGGCCTCATCGCGGCCGCCCGCAGGGAGCGCTCCGACAGCATCAGGTCGGACACGGGCAAGGACGGCGGCCCGGTGGAGCGGCTGCGGGCGGAGCACGGGGGCTCCCCCCAGAACAGCTCGGCCGAGAACATCCCCTTCGCCGAGGATGGGAACCTGACCATCAAGCAGCGGCCCCGGCAGATGGGGCTGGCCAAGGGCGAGGCAGGGGACGGGCTGTCGCCTGCTCACCGGCACGGGGACCTGGCCAAGGTGGAGGCCAGCGCCACACTCAAGAGGAGGATCCGGGCCAAACAGAGCCAGCAGGACAGCGTCAAGTTCATCCTGACCGAGTCGGACACAGTCAAGCGACGGCCCAAGTCCAAAGACAAGGAGCAGGGGCTGGAGCCGGCCCCCCTCTCCGTCTACCAGAACGGCACCGGCACCATCAAGCGGAGGCCGGCGTCTGAGATGAGCGGTGCGGAGACACCCCCGCAGGGCCCTGCCGCAGGCGACAGGCGGGACAGGCTGGAGCATGTGCCGCAGGCTGTGGGCGGGGAGCCCAAAAAGCCCTTCAAGCCGCCGGTCTCTCCCAAGCCCGTGTTAACCCCACAAGCACAGAAGGTCCCTGGGCCGCCCACACCCACTTCCAAAAAGGCACCGATCCCCAGCCCCGGCAGCCCAGGTAGGTGGTGTCCTGCCGAGGGAGCTGGCAGGAATCTGAAGGGACGCGGGCTCTGGTCCCTGAGCTCTGCTCCTGAGAGCCCACAAGCTAAGCGGGGTCAGAGTCGGGTCGCTCTTGCCTGGGAGAGCGCTCAGGCAAACGCCGGCTGGTGCAGCCGCAGGGCCCTGCCTCGTGCTCACTGCGGGGGGACGGGAGGCTCCGTGCCAGCCAAGCGTCTGCTGAGGGCGTTCCGGGTTTAATCCCCTTTGCCTGCAGCCCATCTCCATCTCCGGCAGTTCTCCCAGCACCAGGCCGGGCTCCCTCCGCACGGCTTGACGAGGGGCGATCCTCACGGCTGGCGCTGAGGGAAGCCTTTTCTCACGGTGGCTGGCAGCTGGGACAGGACGTCTTCTCTGCCCCCGCCTGCCCTCCTGCTGCCCAGCAGAGCCTCTCTGGGCCTCCCTCTGTAGCGTGAGCCTGTGCTCGGTGAGCGCTGCCCCACAGGGATGTGCCAGGAGCACCGCGGGGCAGAGTGGGACCCCTTCAGCTGGGGCAGAACAGTGAGAGATCAGGTCCATTCCAGCTTTGCCCGCTGTTGTTTATGGCTTGGATTGTGGTAGCACCGAGGAGCCCTCTCGTGGCCCAGGGCCCCGTGGCACCAGGTGCTGTACAGACAGAACAAAAGACAGTCCTGCCCCAGAGAGCTGGCAGTCTCACGTGCCTCCTGCCTCCAGCCAGCCTCCATTGGATGCACTGCCTCCCCCACACCCCATCCTGCGCAGCCGGGCTGGGTCCCGGGTCGTGGCCAGCAGCTGCTGCACATCGCCCCATTGGGTGAGTGGGCAGTGAACAGACCCCTCTGGAACAGCCGCTGGAATGCTGTGCGGCGTTAGGAGGCTTGTCCCAGCCATTAGCCAGGCCCCATAATTCCTCACGCTCGTGGGAGGGGAGCGGCACATTCACTGGAGTCCTCGACAAAGTCCTAGAGTGGCACGTATGGGGACCGACTGTAGGAGCTCTGGAGCTAGGAGTACAAGCTTCTATGGCAGTGGGGGAGGGGGGGGCAACCTGTGGCCCATCAAGGTAATCTGCTGGCGGGCCACCAGACATTCCCACGGCCGCCCGCAGCTCCCAGTGTCTGCGGTTTGCCCTTCCCGGCCAATGGGGTTGCCCACCACTGCTCTGTGAGCTGGTGGCACTAACTAGTGGGCAGAGGGGACGAGCCCCACGCTGGGTTACAGGCGGATCGACCGGCGTCCAGGGAGGAGAGCTAACGGAACTAGTTCTGCAGCCCTGGTGTCCATGGCTGCGGGTCGTGGATTCTGGCTCTTCCTAACGCAGGGCTGTTCTGCAGGCAGAACGCCAGGGCCCATTGGGCGACAGCCCAGCGAAATAATCCTTGCCCAGGGCCCGGTGTGGGCTGGAGCCGGGGAAGTGTTTAAAGGCTGGGTGGATGCGTGCGGTGAGCCTCCATTGGCGGGTGGGTTTTAACGCTCTGCTGCTAACCCTCCAGCGCCGGGGAACAGGCTTTGCCGGTCAGGGTTTAGGGCTCTGTGGAATGAACTCCCCCCAGCTAGGGGGTGGTTTGACGTTCCCTTCCCCCCGGTGTGGGAGGAGTGCTCTCTGGGAGCCTTTCGAGAGGCCACTTGCCGGGTTTACAACCCACCCATCAGGGTGCCCGTGGGCGTTACAGGCCCAGCGCTGTCTGTAACGGGGCCTGGAAGTCATTCCAGCTGTAGGGCCCCAGGTCCCTGCCCGGCCAACTGCCTCGTGCGCCACGGCCCTGGGCGTAGCGGGAGCCCCTCTGGGCCGTACCCCTGCCTGGCAGCGTGATCTTCAGGGCGGGCGGCTCCCCGACCCTGTGCTCATCCAGGCCCGCGGGGAAGAGCTTCCCCAGGGCACGCGTTGCACTGAGCTTGGAGGCTGGCCTAGTGCTGTTTGGGGGTGTCCCGTTCTCTCCTGGCTCCCCTTGGGATCCCCAGCGCCCGTCTCCTGGAGGTGTGGGGCCCCAGGGCCTGCCCCCCCCCCCCCAGCTGAGTCAGGGTGGCTCTGTTGCTGACTGTGGGGAAGCCTCCCAAAGGCCTGATGCTGGCTCCCATTAGTGTGCCCCCCCACAGGGCAGGGGTGACCCCACCCCCAATCCCAGCCCCTCTCACCCAGGGCAGAGGTGACCCTCCCACAGCCAGACCCTCTCACCCAGAGCAGGGGCGACCTCCCTCCCCCCGATCCCAGCCCCTCTCACCCAGGGCAGAGGTGACCCCCCCCCATAGCCAGACCCTCTCACCCAGAGCAGGGCGACCTGCCCCCCGATCCCAGCCCCTCTTACCCAGGGCAGGGGTGACCCCTAATCCCAGCTCCTCTCACCCAGGGCAGGGGTGACCCCCCCATCCCAGACCCTCTTACCCAGAGCAGGGGTGACCCCTCCCCAATCCCAGCCCCTCTCACCCAGGGCAGAGGTGACCCCCCCACCCAATCCCAGCCTCCCCATGTTAACAGCAATGGCTATGACCCTTACAGCCCCTCTCCTCTCGTCTCTCCTGCAGAGGTGAAGCGAGTCCACGGCACCCCACCCCCGGTGTCGCCCAAGCCCCCACCACCCCCGACGGCACCCAAGCCCCCCAAGCCCCACGCCACCATCCAGTCAGTGAGCGCGGGCTCCACGCCCACACCCTCCCCTGCCAAGCAGCTCACCACCACGATCAAGCCTTCAAGCACACCGCCTTCACTCTGCTCGAGCCCCGCCAAGCCCTTGTCGCCCAGTGGGCAGCCCCAGCAGGTGCCCGTCAAGCCGCCGCGCTCCTCCATCGCCGGGCCCTCGACGGAGAGCGCCAGCCCCGAGACAGCACACCAGAAGCTGGAGGAGACCAGCGCCTCGCTGGCGGCTGCCCTGCAGGCCGTGGAGGAGAAGATCAAGCAGGAAGACGGGCAGGCAGCAGAGTAAGGATTCCGCTCCCTCATGCGTGTGCGCACGGGGCTGTGCCTTGGTTGTGAGGGGCACCGACCTTTGGGACTCACTGCTGCTGGACAGTGTCCAGGTCGAGAGTCCAGCAGGGCAATTAGGAAAGAGTCCGTGGGTGCAAGGGCTGTTGCTCCTCATGCTTCAGGGATACGGTACTCCCTGTCGGTGTCAGGTGGGGGCTGTTTGCTGAGCCAGGCTAGCTCTATTGGAAAAAGTCCCTTCTCACCTAGTGTAGACAAGGATCAGCTGTCCCCATTCCTGCGGGTCTCCCGGTGAGTCTGGTTGCTGCTGGGTCAGTCTTTCTACGTTCCTCAGGGCAGAGGCTCCCTTCTACAGAGCTCAGTGTGACGGCGCTTAGCGCAGACAACCTTAATTCAGGTACCGTCTGTGCTTAGCTGTGCAGCCCTTCATGTGCTTGTAAAGGAGGGGTTTTTAGGTAATTCCCTAGGTTTTTTAAACCGTCTTGACCCTCCATGTGGGTCGTCAGCAGGGCTCGGCCATGTAAGCTAACAAATAACCGGTAGCAGTAGAAGGCTGTTATCTTCTACGTGGCCAAGAGGGGATGGGGATGCACACTCAGCTGATTGCGAGGCTGTGAAGGAATGATGAGACGCAGGGCATGTGCACCTAGGGAAGTGGTAGCGGAATAAGGTGGGGTATGAATTCAGAGCCCTGCAGTTATAACTCCCTGTGTGGACGCTCTTATTCTGGTGAAAGAGGCCCTATTTCCAGTTTAGCTTATGTTGCTCGGGAAATGATTTAAACCAGGGGTCGGCAACGTTCGGCACGCGGGGCGGGCCAGTTTACCTGCTGACGCGTCAGGTTCGGCTGATCGCAGCCCCCACTCGCCGCGGTTCACCGTCCCGGGCCAATGGGGGTGGTGGGAAGCTGCGGCCAGCACATCCCCCGCCCGCGCCGCTTCTTGCTGCCCCCATTGGCCCGGGACGGCGAACCGCAGTGAGTGGGGGGCCACGATCGGCCGAACCTGCCGCGTCAGGAGGTAAATAAACTGTCCCGACCCGCCAGGGTGCTTACCCTGGCAAGCCGCGTGCCAAATGTTGCCAACCCCTGATTTAAACTAAGCTGAGAAAACCTACTCTTAGGATCGGCCAAGCAGCGTCACTGGGGGTCGGGGGTGGTGGTGGAAAAATCCAAGTCCCTGTGAAGACAGCGCTAGGTTGACCTAGCTACGGCCTCTCGGGGAGACGGACCCTCCCATCGAGGGTAGCGGCACAGCTGCAGCGTTTCTAGTGTCGACAAGGGTTAGGGTTATCCCAGGATAACCGGCGGGGTTTAGCTGTACCGGTAGAGTTCTGCTGGTATCACTGGAAAAGCTCCCATGCCGACAAGCTGGCAAGACTCCTGGGGTCAGTTCCAGGTTCTTTAAGGACGTATGCGCTAGTAGATACAAACTCCTGCCCCCCTCCCCAGGTTACCCCCCTTTCAGCTTTTGAAGGACAATGCTCCTGGGGGCTGCTCCATGGCCCCCTCCTCGTGGAGCTGGTGAGACCCCCAACTGCCCCACAGCTAGGAGGGGGGACAGAGCCCAGCTCTGCCTTGCAGCTCCAGCTCCTCGTCCCCCCTGGAAGGAGGCTCAGTTCCAAGGGGGACCCAAGGGGAGCTGGAAGAGGGACACAGGCATGGGGGGGCAGTACTGGGGGGTTCTTGGGGAGATCCAGGCTTGAAGGGGGCCTTACGGAGGAGAGTTGGGGTGGGACACAGGCTTGAGGGGCGCCCTGGGCAGGATGAGGAGTGTTTGGGGAACAGAACCGTACAGATGGGGGGACAGGAGGGAAGTTACTTTGTCAGGGGCTGTGGGGGTGGAGGGGCTTGCTGGGCTCTGAGGGACTGGGTCCCTTCCCTGCAGCTTGGGTGGAAAGTTACTCCACTGCTCAGTGTGACACCCCTCCCGCCCCCACGTGCCCGCTGCCCTCCGGGCGAGACCCACATCAGCCACGGGTCCTGTGGGGCGCAGCCCACCCCCATTGATGCTAACAGACGCTCTCTGCCCCCGCAGCTCTGCCGCAGAAGCAAAGAGCACAGTCAGCATTCTGGACGACATCGGCAGCATGTTCGACGACCTGGCCGACCAGCTGGACGCCATGCTGGAATGAGGCCCGAGGAGAACCCCAGCTAACCTCAGGATTTACCGTGGGTACAAGGGCACAACGATCCACCGACTCCCAGCCCCCCTCCCTGCCCCTTGTACAGCCTGCCCCCCCTCGGCGAACAGCCCATCCTTCGGGGTTTGCACAAAGAAGAAAAGATTACCTCAGGATTGTGCTCACACAGCCCGCGGCGCTCGGGGCAGGCTTTTGGCAGGAGTGGGTTTGCAGAAGCAAAAAAACAAAAAGCCCTGTTATGTTTTTTTTCCTACCGAAGTAGCAAGCAACCGTGGGATAAAGGCGCCCATAATGGCGTCTAAACCCAACTGCCAGGCCGAGAAGGCAGTGGCGTGGGGCTCGTCCCCTGACTCGCCTCTCCAGGCCAAACCCGAAATCCAGCAAGAACGGTTCTGTTCCAGTTGTGCCGTGTAGCTGAACTTCCACCTTTTTAGTTTGACCCGATCGTCCTCTTTCTCGCCGGACTCCCAGATGTGACAGTTCTGTGTGTAGCCAAACGTGGCCCAATCCGTCTGCTTTCCTCCCCGTTCGGTTTGGGTTAGACTCTCGTTCTGGTGACGCCGTGTTGCTATCGTTTCTCGACCGAGCACTGCCATTATCCCGTGTGCCGCCCTCTGCGTTCCCATGCCCCCGTCTGCTGATGTTGGGAGATGCTAGGAGTGGTGGGCCGAGGCCGCCCGCTGTGGGTGCCAGGGTGGGCGCTTGCCCGCTGGCGTTCGGTTAGCTGCATGCTTTGTTTTATTCGGAAGGTGTTTGTTTGTTCTTTCCTGGTGCTGAGAAGCTGTGACCGTGAGACGTTGTTCTGGTGACAAGTCCGGTTTGACCAATTAGCTCTTTCATTTTTTAAAAATTATTATTTTTTCTGTGTTCTGGTTATTTTGGGGGCCGTCTTGCCGGGGGAGCAGCGCTGTGCGCCGGCACCGTGAGAAAGCTTTGTAGGTTTGCATGCTCGAGACAGTGTTATGACAAGAAAAGAAAAATATAGAAAATAGCCCCCTCCCTCCCACATGCCACTCCCTGCAGGGAGCGGCTCCTGGAGGCTGCCCGAGGAGGTGGGGCCCGGGTGGCTTTCACTGCACAGAAAGGGCTGTTGGAAATCTGAGCACAGCCCCATCACCTTGCCCCTTTCTCCACTCAGCCACTTGGCTTCCAAAGACTTTGTCCTGGACTTGGACTATTCAGCCTTTAATGCCCATCCTCACCCCGCACCTCTGCTGGAGCGACAGCCAGTCCCAGGCTCGCTGGCCGCTGGGGGCCTGGTTGTGCTCTGTGGAAGCCTGTGGCAGCAGGCTGGGGGCGGTCTCCATTGAAAGGGATGCTTGCGTGCGCTCGGCCCCAACGGGTGGTGTCCCCGGAGCAGGGGCTGCGGGGGATTCGGTGCGAGCTGGGCTGTGGAGGGGGGGAGCAGTGGTGGGGCTCTCAGCCAGGAGGAGCCGGAAAGTTGTGCTGGGGGCGGCGGGCGGGGGAGAGAATCCTCCGGCAGATGCTGCGGAGGGCAGGGGCTGGGAGGGAAGGGGCTCTGATGGCAGGAGCCTAAGGGTTTGTCAGCTCTCTGAGGGCCGTGGGCGCCAGGCTGTGGGTATTCAGAGCCAGGCCCTACGCATGCAGGGCTGGGGCAGCAGCAAGCCACGGGCCAGGCTGATTCCCAGTTCACTGCTCCGTCCCTCACCACTTGTCCCCTCAAAACACTGCCGCAACCACAGCGGCCAAGACCCCCCAGGCCTGCCTGCAGGCCCCAAAGAGCCCAAGCCTCCAGGAGCTGTGCTGCTCATAGAGGAGTGTTGCCTAGTGAGCGGAGCGCAGGGCTCTCCTCCATCTGTAGCAAGGTGCTGTGTCAGCCTGGTCACGGGCTGCTGTAGGAGGTGGGGGGGCCTTACTGGGGGATACGAGAGGGTGGCTCTGTGGGGTCTGTTGGGGGCAGCAGCAGCCAACTCACCGATGGCAAAGGGAAGCCAGCCTGGGGCGCCCCCGCCTTAGAGACCCGGAGAGCCTGAGCCAGGCCATGGGGCCCCCAGTGCTCTGCCCAGTGGGTTCTGCCGCGGCACGGCTCTGCTGGCGACCGCCACGGCCAAACCCGGGGGAGCTGCATGGCGAGGAGGGGGATGGGGCTGCAGCACCCCTCATACAAGCACAATACAGGAGTCCCTAGTGATGGATTCCCAATTGGCCGGCCAGACCTCACTGCTCCTCCTTCCCCCCACCAGCCCAGAGGGCACTGCCCGGGCAGTGCCAATGCCCCTGGAGCAGAGGGAGCTCAGGGAACAAATCCCTTTCCTCATCCCAGTCAGTCCTGCAGGGGGTGCCAGCGGCATTTCTGTTACGTGGGGCTCACTGGTCCCCCACCCTACACCCCAGCCCTGCCTGCCCTCAGGGAGACCGGCTTGTGTCAGAGCGTGACCTTGGAGAGCCGCAGTAGCTAACCCGTGTCTAACCCCGTAGCACGCGGCCTGGGCAGGTTAGCCTCGGTGTGACAGTTCTTGCACCTTGCAGGTTAATCCCACTGCCCCAGGCTGTGTTCTGAACCCCTCGCCGTCCGTGGGGAGCCCAGGCCTGGGCGGGAGCCGCTCGCCCTAGAAACGCGCTGCCAGTTTCCCGTCCGGGCCCATGGGCGTGCCTGACTGGCTCCAGCTAGCCCAGTGTCCCTTCTCAGCGGGGGCCAGTTCCAGATGCAGCAGAGGCGGGTGGAAGAAGGCCGCAGTGGCAGATGTAGGATGATTCCCCTCCGCTCACATTAGGCCTCCTCCTGGTCTCTTAGGGCTTGTCTGCAGGGCACCGCCGTGAATTGTAGAGCTGAAATGAATAGGCAGCAGGTTTAATACAAACAGAAGGAAGTACTTCTTCACAACGCACAGTTAACTTGTGGAACTCGTTGCCAGGGGATGTGGTGAAGCCAAAGTATAACTGGCTTCCAAAAAGAATTAGATCAGTTCATAGAGGATTGGTCCTTCGATGGCTGGACAGCAGGGGATGGCTCACTCGATAATTGCCCTGTTCTCTTCATTCCCTCTGAAGCATCTGGTGCTGGCCACTGCCAGAAGACAGGACACTGGGATGGATGGACCATTGGTCTGACCCAGCGTGGCCGTTAGGTTATGACGCACTGTGTACCTTTTAGTTTGTGCCAGTGGGTCGACGGGGGGCAATTAGAGTTCTCAACCATTCCCACCCCTCTGGCTTGCACCGCCATGCCATGGAGACCAGCCCTACCCATCAGCATTTGGCTACAGCCCTGAAGCAGCAGCTTGAATGTCCCTGCCCATGTGTGTGTGGCCATTAGTTCTGCTAACTCCGGTTCTGGTGGATTCCCCCTAGAATGTCCAGTCCCTTTTCAAGTCTCCAAGGGGCTGGTGAGCCATGCACTGCGATGCTGGCCCCAGGGACTGGAGGGGCATGTCTGAGAAATCCCAAATTGTTCATCGGTTTCTAAAGCCTCAATGTCCTGCCCCATTTCTATAACCTGTCTCCCTCCCCCCCGCCTCTTGCTGTGTCTGAACAAGCAGGGGTGACAACCGGACCAGAACTAGCAACCGTGGAGCTGTTAGTTGGGCTCAAGCATCAATGCCTGGGGTTGGCCAGCAGGGACGAGGCCGAGCAGCTGATGTATTGTCAGGGCTTTTCCTCCAAACTCTTGCCAGACCAGCATTTCCCGTCTACAAGGGCTCCAGTTCCGAGGCCGCCCAGCCTGCAGCCTGTACCCAGGTAGGTAGCTGTTACTCGCAGGCCTGGGCCCATGGATGTCAGCGGGGCCATGTGTGAGTGAGGGGGCTGGGATCGGCTTCCCTGCTTCTTGCAAGTGCCAGTGATTTCCCCTGCCACATCCCGATACGTTTGCTCCTTTGTCAAACCAATAACCTTGGGGACCCAAAATTGGGCTAGGGGAATACAGACCAGCCCAGGGGGTCAGCTCCTTCGCTTCTGGCTTGAGCCTCCTGTCCAAGAGGGTTGTTAGCTCGCTCTGTATCCCAGTAGGTTTCTTACATGCGCTGAGCTCATTGCAGAGGAAAGAGGGCCTTGGCCGAAGCAAGCAGAGCAGAGGAGGACATGGCTGAGCGAGGCCTGTAGTTAGGACAATGCCCTACTGCAGTGAAGTGTTAGGAACGCTTCCTAGTTGGGGAACAAAAACGCTTTCTCTGGAGGGTGATAAAGGATGAAGAAATAATAAGCTATATAAAGAAGTATTAATTTATTGGGAAAAAAAGATTTAAGACAGATATTTTCCCCCAGAAATTAAAAAAAGGAATAAACTTTAACAAATATATATTTAAAATATTAAAAATAGTATCAATTATATAATAAAAGTTTTTAAAAAAATCAAGAGAACTGGATTTTAGCTGGAGAAAAATCTATTAGATTACAATAAGCTCTATGTCTTTGTGGCAAGATCATATTAAGAGTAGCACAAGCATAAGATACCTTTTATCTCGTTAGAAGGTCTGTGCAAACAGCTTTCGGTTTGTTTTTCTGTTGGAATTCAGTGTTCTTCCTTTATTTGTACACGGTTTAAGAAACTCAAAGGATGTGCCTTGTTTCATGAAGGTTTTTGTTAACTCTGATCTGGAGGTTGTTTTATTTTTCTTAGGTGTCTTCAGGGTTGTTTTTTCTTTTTTTGTGTGTGAATGTGTGTGTGTGTGTGTGCGTGCGTATTCTTGAGAATACACAGCTGTATATTCATGTATAAACAGGATTTGGAGTCTGGTTTATCGCTTGAATTCTGATGAATGCATTTTGCTTGTGGTTTCAAAACAACGTGTTGATGTAATTTTTTTCTGAGAAGTACAAACTGCTCTCTCTCTCTCTCTCTCTCTCTCTTTTTCTCCCATTGTGTTTGCTGATCCAGATGTGTTTGGCACAACTTTGAAATTTCTTTAAAAAAAAAAGCCTAGAACTATCTGTTGTAAAGAAAAAAAATGTATCTTAACAAAATCCATAAAGTTCTACATGATGGAGATATACATATATATATATTTTTTATGATTAAGTTATGGAATCTGTATTGTATTCCCATTCTGTCAAAGCTATGCATCTTGGTGCTTTTCCCTGCTCTTCTGTGCTTCGGTTCCACCTATATTATTATGACTATTCTGAATATTAAATGGCTCGTGGTGCTTTGAAGACGTTTGCTCCTAAGTCTGGCAACAAATATTTAAAGGAAAAAAAAATCCTTATCAACCTTAATTGTAAAAGAGACAAATGTTATTTTTATTGTTGGGAATTAACTCCAACCAAAAAAAAATTCCATGGTACAGACAATTCCTAAAGCACCAGGTTGTACAGTGTGTGTATATGTCCTTCTGGTCCCCTGCGATGGACTGACTCATACTGTAATTTTTTGTCAGGCATGTGGCAGTGGTATGCTTGACTGACTGCATTTACTGCCATCGGCTCTCAATAAATGTCAGAAAACTCAAGGTGGGTGCCACTCTTGTTTGGCTAGGCCTGGCTGCTGTCGTTAATGGGGGGTGCGGCCAGATGGGGCGTGGGTGTTCTGCTACAACCCTGGCAGAAGTGACTGTGGCGTGGAGGAGCAGGTGTTCCTAACCCTCCCAGGAGCATAGGGGTGAACATGTAGCGCGGAAAACTGGGGCAGCCACCTGTGGACATGGGGACTGACACGGTCACTGCGCAGCGGGACAATTAAACCAAACCTTCCCTGCTTGCTTCACTCCCAGGGCCCCAGGGCGTGAAATCCCCAGCCCGGCTGCTGCCTGGCTCAGGTCGAGCACCCGCAATACTGACACCTTTTGCAAGTTGGCAAATTAGGATGGAAATGGACGCCCAGAGCTGGTCCTGTAGCTCGGGGACTTGGTGCAGCGTGCCTGGCCCCTGGCTGCACTGCATTGACCAGGGGCATGCCCAGGGCTGGAAGCGTTGGCCTGGCCCAGACGCGGTAAATGTCTTTGGCACCAGGTAAGGGAGCAGGGGCTGAGGTCACGCCCTTTCCCGCGGCTCTGGCTCCAGCAAGACACTTTAAGGCTTTTGATGCTAAACTTGACCCTGTTACTCCTAAACAAATCTCCCTGATTGAAAGCGTGGCTGAGGAAAACGATCGAGAGGCGGGCTGGTGTCGGCCATTTCCCCGCTTGTTACCGGCGAGAGCAAAGCTCCTCGTATTCGCTTCGTAAGGACGCCCGTGTTATAGCAGCAGCTATGCCCCCCTCCCTCATTTGAGTCAGGTGCTGTACTAAAGGCTTAGCAAGAATTTGAATCCCCTGCGGAGCTGAGTGTTTCAGAGTCCCTGGCCGTGGGGCTCTCAGGGTTTAGACAACCTGCTCGCTGCTGGTATGAGCAGGAGCTAATGCCTACGTCATCATTGGAGGCTGCAGGGCGGATGTTGTAGGCAGTCGGGGCGGGAGATGGGGCTGCTCTATGGACGGGAACAGGGGCTGTCAACCATGTAACGCCAGCCTGGGCACGGCCCAGGGACCAGCCTGCAGCTCCAGGGGCCGGGGCCACCTGGCTGTTTGGGCCCAGGCAGCAGACCCCTTCCCGCTCAGGCCCAGTGAATGGGAGGGGGGGGGCCTTGGGGAAAGGGTGGGGCTAGGGGGTTCAGTTTTCTGCTATTAGAAAAATGGCTACCCTCGCAAGCATAGGTAAGGGGACTGTTGGCCCCTTACAAAAACTCAGCAGGGTTTTGGGTTGACTAGTGCCCAGTACCAAAGGGCAAGGGTCAATGAGAACTCAGGTGCCCTGCGATGGACAGGTCCCTCAGAGTCAATGAGGCAAAGCCAACATGCCAGACCAGCCTGATTGACAACGCAATCAGGGAGTCAGGAGGTCCCAGCTGAGCTGGGGCTGCCTGGGCAGGAGTGGGGCAGAGTTAAGAGGAGAGCCGGGGGGGGCCTGAGCAGAGCTGGAGGCAGAGCAGAGCTGACGGCGGTGAACAGCTTGGGAGAGCGAGGGGGACCCTGGGCACTGGGCCTAGTGCAGGGAGACGCCCCCAGCCAAGAGGCCCTGCAGGCCAGACTTGGAGCTGGCCCGCAGGATTGCCAGCCCCGTGGAGCAGCGGGGCTAAGGCTGGCCCCGTGCCACTCCCGGAAGCAGCTGGCACCATGTCCCTGCGGCCCCTGGCGGGGCGGGAGGGGTGGGGGCATGCAGAGCTCCATGCGCTGCTCTCTCCTCCAGGCACCGCCCCCCTGCAGCTCCCATTGGCCAGGAACCCCTTGCCCTGAGCCCCCTAGTCCCCTGCTGCACCCCTCTGGCACCCCACCCCCTTGCCCTGAGCCCCTTTCTGCACACTGGACCCCCCCCCCCCAACCCACTGCCCTAACCCTATATCCATGGCCCTGCCTACAATTTCCCCACCCCGATGTGGCCCTCAGGCCAAAAAGTTTGCCCGCCCCTGCCCAACGTGACCATGACAAGGTGGGGATCAACCACCCGCCCCCTCAGGAATCCTGGGCCAGCCTTGGCAGGGTTACGAGGACTCTGCCACACACGAGAGTGGAAGGGGAGCTCTCGTGGCCAGGCAGGCCTCTGGGTAAAGGGAGTGGGAGCGGGGACTCAGCTCCTTTCGCTAGCCCACTGCACTGGGGTCGTGCAAAGGCAGGAAAGTTCCCCACAGTAGCGGGCCCAGTCCCCCGCTTTCACTTAGCTTAGACAGCGAGCAAAGGTGGTGGTGGTTTAAGCATAGTGGAAAAACCCTTTTGGTTGCCATCTGGTTGTCCATCTGGATAATGGTGCGGCCGCACCCAGCCGCAGTTTAATCTGGGTATGTTTAGGGTGAGATTTAAACCAGAATGAATGTGCCGGTTACTCAACGCCGGCTGTGGCATTAGTGGCCTGCTCTTCGGGGCCAGCAGGAGTGGGTGAATGGCTCTTTAGGTGAGCATTGCTGGCCGGGTATGTTACGAATGAAAGATTGAGTCTGAACGGCTTTCCACCAGTGGGGTTAGTGCCCCCCAACCTCTGGGGAACACCTGGAGGAGCTCAGACTTTTGGTGTAGCTGCCCCGCGGGTGCCCGTACCCAGGGTTAAGGCGAGGCCTCCTGGCAAGGGTGGAAGGCACAGCAGATACCAGAGGCACAAGCTGGGCCAGGCTCCCTCCATGTGTGGCAGGTGCAGGGGATAAGCCAGCGGAACAAGAAGCTGTTTCACTTTGTCGTCTCATGCGCTGCTCCGCTCCCGGAGGTCAGCGCCTCCCTGTGCAGCGCTTGGCCCGGCCCCCCCCTTAGCTCTGGGTATATCCCACCCATACTGACCCAGTCTGCCTCCATTGGGGCAAGCCCAGGTCTGGGGCCACAGACACTAATGGCCCTAGGAGAAGCTGCAGCGCTAGTCCCATATGATCCCCCCCAACCTTTGCTTACAAACACGCCAAGGCCCCTCTTCTCAGCCCCACACTCCCAGTGCTGCTGCTCTGCTAGGCAGTGGGTGTCGTTCTAGCCCTGGTAGGAGACACTGTTTCCCATGGCTTTTGCCCTCAGCTAAGAGGCAAGTACGCAGGGTTCTAACACCCTGGGGCCACAACCAGCTCAAAGCACTGTTGATACTGGTCTCGCCAGGGCCCTCCCCGCCGTGATGCAGATCTAGCCCTAAGCGTAGCTCTCTGCTTTGATAGGGCCAGGGATGATACCAAGTGAAGGTAATGGGGGGAGACAGGCATGCGCTTGGACTACACACGACAATGCTACTGCCAGTTACTCCATTCCTGCGGTCTTACTCTGCTGCCAGTAGCCGATCGGCGCGTCGGCTCAGAGACACCTCCTGATTCTCACCCACTGCGTGGCCCTGAGCAGCAGTTACAGAGCGTATGGAGGGGAACGGCCCCAAGCACCTATGCCCATGGGAGAAGACTTTTTAAAGAACTCACTTCACCCCCGCAGGTGCCTCACCCTTCACTTCTCGTGGCTCTTGCCTTACCCTGGGTCTACACTGCAAAGAAAAACCCATGGCTGGCCTCTGCCTGCTGGCTCACGCTGTGGGGCTGTTTCATGGCTGTGTAGACTTCGGGGCTCAGGCTGCAGCCCAGGGTCCCAGCAAAGCCCAGCAGTCTACACAGCCATGAAACCGCCCTTCGCTGACTCGGGCTGCCGGGGCTCAGGCCAGCTGTGGGTGTCTAGCGGCTGTGTAGACATACCCCTAGTGGCTCCCACACCTGCTGTGCCTGGCGCAGGGACGAGCTCCCCTGCCCAGGTGTGCAGGGTTGGGAAGTGCGTGCCCGTGGAAGGCCAAGCGGGTGGCAGCTGGCCCTCCCCCAAGTAACTCACACGTGCCTGGAACAGCTCTTTCCACTTTTATTGTCAATGAAGAAATAATCCAATTATATTACAATCTTAAAAACCGTAGAAAATGTGAGTAAAAATGCAACAGAGGCTTTTTCTCTTTAATGTGGAGACTGTAATTACAGGGAGGGTGAACCGATGCGCTCGTGTTACTTGATCAGAGAACTAGCGTGTGGTGTAAAAATCGTACCTGGCTACACAAGGAAGATTCCTCTTGAAAGGCCAAACAACAGCTCGCTATCGTCTGGGCAGTCAAATTAAATACGAGAGCGACAGAGAGGGGCCCGGGCGGAGGACAAGGCCGAAGCTCAGTTCTCCTGTTTGCAAAGTGACCTCGCTCCTGGTCCTTCGCTTCCTCGACAGGCTCCGCTGCGACCAGCTGAGTTGTGCTGTCCCATTGCCGCCTGGCGTCCACGCCAACTGCGCCTTGCTTGGCCCGACCAGCCCAGCCAGCACGTGTCCCCTTTGGCACGCCGAGCCTTTGGGTCAGGCTCTGCCATGGTGACACCACAGTAACAAACCCCTGCCCAGTGCTGTGTGCAATACGGAGAACAGCAGTGACCCACCGGCCCTCGCAGCAGGCCAGGTCTCCCACCTATTTCATGGGACACGGCTGACTTCTGGGGCGTCCCTGGGCGACGGCAGGTCGGAGGGACGAGCGATGCTGAGGGCGCAGTTGCTGTGGCCGATGGAAGGCAGCAGGTGGTGGTGGTGAGCAGAGGGCGGCAGCAGCTATTTCAGAGCGGTGTCAGTCGTCCAACAGGCCGGCAGAGGAGAAGGAGATTTTGGTACTCGGGGTGCAGGACCGGTGCAGCTGTTACCGTTAGCACGTCCAGACCTGTGGAGGCCGGGAGGGATGGGTGAACAGGGATCCAGGTCAGTCAAGGGAACACAGCCGGTTCCTTCCTCTCCCGCCCCAAAAACGCCCTCCTCGAAGCTGAGCCCCTAGCGATCCCTGCTGGCCAGCTGGGGCCCGTTCTGCTGCCCGACTCGCGGTTGCTGCCCTAGTGACCCAGGAGGAAAGGGGAGCTCTTGGCTTGCCCAGGAACCCCAGCCCACCGAAGAGCGGACACGTCGTGGGCAACAGCTGCTCTCTCCAAGCTGCAGCCCTCCCAGGGTAACCCCCTCCCGCCAGGACAAGCTGCTGGGCTCTGGGTTCTCCCCTCGGTGAGGAAGCTGCAGTGGAAAGCCCAGGGGCGACCGACCTTGACAGTGCTGTCCACAGCGCCGGAGAAGAGGCGGCCCCTGGAGACTGCGAGCGCCGTCACGCTGCCCTGGTGCCGCAGCAGCGTCTGAGTGCAAATCATGTTGTCCATGCTCCACACCTGGAAGCACATGCAGGGATGTGTGAATGCGAAGCTGGGGACCGCAAGGCCTGTCTGCCCAGGCACCAAGGGGGCTCAGAGGAGAGGGCTCTGGCCACGAAGGGAAGGAAACAATCTGGGAGTGCGAACAAAGACCAAAGAATTCTCCGCCCCCAGCCTAGAGGCCTCCCTTGCCCTTCGGGGACCTATGTTACTCTCCCAGGGACCTGTGTTAGTTACAGGAGCCAGGCCCGGGGCGCTGAACTGAGACAGTCTCTCTGCGTCACCACGTCCCGGCTGTCTGGATATGGACATGATCCCAGCACCACCACATCTGCCTGTCTCTCACTCCTTCAGTTCAGTGGCCCAGTGTCCCACCGCCGGGTACTAACTAACCCCAGTTCTCCCGAGTGCCAGGCCAGAGCCAGACTGGTCCGTAGTGAACAGGTTCTGGCAAGGCTCTGCACTGGGGCATCACTAGTCAGTGTCACCGGGAACAGCAGCGCTCTGCAGCCCCCTTGCATCGGCAGCTCTCCAAACACGAAGACACTACGGCTGCACCGAGCCCCGTTTTACAGCTGGAGGGACTGAGGAACACACAGTGGAAGGGCACCAGGAGTCAGGACTTGACTCAGGACCCCTCACTCCCAGTCACGCCCCCTCCTTACCTGACACTGAGAACCTAAAAGCAAAGGAGAGCCGTAAGGGCTGCAGGTGAAGGGTGCAAGGTCTACGTGGGGACTAGCCTCCCAACGCTGCTTCCCCCTCAGCCTTGGGAGCCTCTCCCCCAGCGAGGCAAGGCCAGGGCAGCACGTACCCTGAGAGAGCGATCGTACGACGCGCTGAAGACTTTGGTTTGATCCGGCGTGGAGATGACGGCCAGGGCGTACACCGTCCCCACGTGCCCGGTCAGCGTGCGCACCTGCTCCTTCGACTCGATATCCCAGACCTGAGTGAGGAGAACAGGAGAGAGACAGCTCAGAGTGACGGAGCCAACATCCAAGGGTGCGGAGCGGGAGCAAGCTAGGCCAGCGCCCAGGCCTGCAGAGCGGGACCAATCAGAGAGGGTAACAGCACCCTCTGACTGCCTGGCACCCCCAGCACCGAGAGGGTGGGTCTCAGGCCAGCCCCTAGAGAATGGGAAAGCACACGGCCTGGATAGCCTCAGTGGAGTCCATCTCTTATCCCCCAGGGTGCTCCGTCAGCCTGCTGGGCAGGAGAGAGGTGGGCCTGTTGGCACAGCAGATGCTGGGGATATCCCGGCACGGCTAGCCATGCTGTGCCCGTTCTGCAGGGAGGGAGCGGCAGGGCCGCGCCGCCGGACTCCGTGTTCTTACATGGATGAGGTTCTCGTAGGTGCCACACACGATGTGATGGTTGGTCACGGCGATGGAGTACACGCTGCCCCCTGACGTCTGCAGCACATGGACACACTCCAGGTTCCGGATGTCCCAGATCTGAAACAGCCCCGTACAGGTCAGCGGCGCTCCAGTGCAGCAGCCCAGTAGGAACGAGTGAGCCCCGGAGTGATACACTGGATTCCTCTCGGTGCATAGCCGGTGGCGCCTTTCCAGACTGGCTGGAGGGCCTGTTGGGGCCAGTGGCTCTGTCCCAGGCAGGGCCAATGGGCCGGCAACAGGTGGAAAGACTCTTGGCCAAGTTCCTACCGGGGCATGAGCTGCACCACTCCCATAGCCAGCGTCTGACGGGCAGCAAAATACAGAGCTGGGCCCAGCAAAACCAGGCCCGAGCCTGGTCCTGTCCCAGGAAGGGAAGGGGAGGTGGCCCCATTGTCACAGGAGGGGAGAGGGTGCGGAGCAGGGGGCTCCAGGCACAATGTACCCCAACTTTCCAACAGTCCAGACACCAGCTGCTAAGTTAACCAGCAGGGACTGGGCCAACAAAGACGAGACGCTTACAGGAACCAAATGCAGAATGATGGTGATTCTGCAGCCCAGACACTGCCCCTCTTAGCAGCAGCAGGGTCAGTGCCGGAGAATGGACGACAACGTCCCAGCAGCTGGAGAAGGGCCATGGCTACATGGCAGTGTTGGGCTTGGCTAATGTCAAACAGCAGCTTGGACCTGCCAAACTCTGATATTACTGCAAAGATGGGAACCTACCAGCCACAATCGCCGGAGTAAATTCCAATGTGTCAGTGACACAACGGCTGTGAAAGCACGCTGCCAAGTGCTCCTGGCTGCCTTTGGTTTTGCACAGATAGGAAGTTAGTGCTGGAGGTTGGAAGGTGCTTTACTCACACACATGTCATCAGCATACTTACCTTGATTGTTTGGTAAGACCCACTGTAGAGATAGTTTTGAGAAGCCACAAGCGCTCGCACCCAGTGATTGAGACCTGTCAATTCCTTTTTCAGCTTGAGTTCGGTGCCCACGATGTCCCAGACCTGTGGCAGGCACACACACACACACACACACACACGACGGGTCAGCTTGCACACTGCTAAGCAGGGCCATTGTGGTCAGAAAGACCAGTCCAAATGGCTACGACTAACTCTGCAGGGCTGCTTCCTGCACGAAATCCACAAGGTCCCCAAAGAGGGTGGAAGTGGGGCCTCGATCCCATACTGGCCCTTGCATGTGGGGGGAGAAGTGAGAGCGGCAGTGTCAGGCCCTGGGAAGATCCACTGGAGCTGCTGAGGTACAGATAAATTCACACTGCCGTTTGTACAGCCTGTCTCTAACGTGAGCCACATGCCTGGAAGTTTAAACAGAAGCAACTGCAGCGGAGAACGTTTCCTGCCTGGGACTCGCCCGCCCTGTGCTAGGGGCTGCAATACAACATACACACAGCGTCCCCAGAACCCTCGACGGAGCAGTCCAGCAGCAGCTGCGAAGCCAGGGAGCAATGCAGGGGAACAGCACTGAGGCATGTGCGTCAGGAGGACAGGACATTGGAGCAGGTGTTAGTTCTCTGCTCCACTCACCTAGCACACATGGAGCCAGGTTTATTTTTTAAATGCATATTTACTAAACGCAGGTTGTTTGAATGACAGCTCTCTGGTGCCTGATAAGTCCCAAAGCCCTTGAGCCACACGACACCCCAGCAGATGGGGAAATGGAGGCAGAGCCAAGCTAAGCAGCTCACCCAAGATCACATGGTGACTTGCCAGCAGAGCTGGAAACAGAACCCAGGAGAGCTGGCCGAGATTTTCCAAAGGACTTGCAATTGTGGGTGCCCAACCAGACACCTTGAATGGCCCCCCGACAGCCAGACTGTGTGACACGCACCCTCTGGAAACCAGCCCCTTAGAAGGGCTCTCAGGTTGAACACCCAAAAACAGGCACCTGAAATCACTGCTCCCTGTGGCGATCTTGGCCCTGATCCCAGTCCCCTGCTCTAAGCACATGGTACACGAGCCCCCGCATGGGTCTGTGTGTTTGCACAAGTACACACCAACTACACACGTGCCCACAGCCTCTGATTTGTAGGAGTCAACACAAACAAGCAAGGCTCTTCAGTCAGCTGCTCCAAAATCTACTTGCAGCTGTCCCTCCTAGTGTCTGCCGCCCCCTAAGCTCACGCTGCAGCGCTAACCAGAGCACGTGCAGACAGACGCACACAGGCCCAAAAGAGCCTTTTCTGGCCAGCGAACTTCTCCCCCAATGGCCACCCAACCCCAACAGGTGCCTTCTCAGCCCTCTACCTTAATGGCTTTAAGGGAGCCACTGAACAGCATGTTGTGTGAGGAGACCAAAGTGCAAACAGGATTGTCATGCGCTCGGATCGTGTTCACCTTCTGCAAGGTTTGAATATCCCAGACCTCGAAAAGGAAGACAAAATCGGTTAGGGATTGGCCTGCTCTGGAAACCCCCTGCAGTTCCCCCCCTCGCCTGTCTGCCCTGGAAATACCCCCAGCAGGAAAACACAGCAAGGGCAACTGTGACAGGATAGACGGCATCTGTGCCCAGAGGATACAGCCCCTCTCTGATGGACGTAGGTTCGACAGGAGGGCTCCTGAGTGGGACTCTCATCCCAGACACTAACACAGCCTCCTGTGAATCAGCAGAAGAGGTGGCGAGGAGTCAGCGGCTCTGTGCCCCACTCCCAGCCCTGGCTGGCCACAGAAGCTGGAGGCCAGGTCCCTCGTGTGGCAGGACAGAGCCTTCCCAGGAAGCCACTGCTGGATTAGAACTTGCCATTTACTCCACGCCCCGTATGGTCAGCCCTGAGCCAGTTCAGTGCCCTGGCTTCCCACTGTGCACTGGGGCGTCTAGTCAAGTGTAGGGCGCTTGAAAGAGACAAACGCCCCCCTTTTATTATTAGAATTCATCCCCGGGATGGGGAAACCACACGCAAGGGATTCCTTTGTTCTCTTGCTCTCTCCGGCCATTCCCAGCCAAGAGGACAGCGGAGGGGCTGCTTTTCACAAGCTGTTGTGCCCTGTAACCTCCCACATGCCGACGTCGGATACTCACAATGATGGTGCAGTCAGCAGAGCCACTGTACAGCTTGTTCCTGTAACGTCACAAGACAATGAAAGGGCGTCAGCGAGGGAGAGCCAGCGGTGGGATTCCAGCTGTCCCGGCGGCTCTGCTCACGGGACACAGAAACAGGAACCTCGCACCTTTCAGACCCTCCTCGCCCCACCCCTGCCTGCTCAGTGGAAAGGAGCCGGGGCGACACCCCCGTCCCCAAACAAGACACTCTGCTCATCATCTCCTAGATGCACAGGGCTGGGACCCAGGGGCTTTTCACTCTGATGACTTTGCCCATTTGTCCGTCTGGCTTATTAAACGGGGAGATCTGGGATTCTGGCCCCTCCCATCCACATGCGCATGTGTGTAAAAGCCTGGTGCACGTGCGCACGCCAGAATTAGGAAGGAAATTAACATCTTAGTCCCTCTTCTCATAATTCACTAATTAAGAGAGGCCAGAGAACAGACCACAAGTCTCTCGTCGCAAGTCCCCATTTCCCCTCCCAGCGGCACAAAAATCATCCGCTCCACTCACCCCTGAATGCAGAGAGCGAGGACAATCCCATCGTGGCCCTCCAAGGTCTTTTGGCACTTGTATGTGGTGCAGGTATCCCACACCTAACAGGAAAGACAAGTTAGCAGGAGATCCCAGGCCTGCTCTCGAGAGCAGCTGGGGATCAGAGCAGGAAGTCAGCTGAGCCAGGAGAGCGGGGAAATCAGTCAGCTGTTTCCTGTGTCCTCTGTGCACCTGTTTTCCTGTCTGAGCGGCAGAGATGAGCACATCTAGGAAAGGAAATGTCGCAAGCAGGGTCAGGCTGAATTTCCAAGGGACACCAAACCCTGAAACGCAGCCACAGCAGCTCCACAGCGCTAGGGCAGACAACAAACTTTCCTAAAACCCCTAGTAAGAAAATGCCAGGCAATGTCAGCTGCTAACCAAGCTCAGGCCTGCTTTTCTAACGTGGCCTCCCTGATTGGATACCCCACCATGCCGACATGTTGGCATTTGTGGCTCCAGCCAATGGAAACCAGGTCCTTCATCTCAGAATGCAAAGTATTGGGAGAAAAATGCAGACAAATGGAACACTAAAAGTTATGCTTTGCCAGCCTCAGATCTTTAAGCACTTGCCACTTCCCATGCATTAAGACTTCCAGTGCCCCTTGGCCAGAGGTAGTTAAGAATTATTACTCCCAGCGTGAGGCCCAGATAGATGACCAGGCCAATTGCCATTGGTGCTGGATACGCACAGCATTCCCTGATGTTAATAGGAGCAGAGCGAGCTCCGCTCCCCTGCGGAGAAAATCCAATCAATCAAGCCTCAAGTGACTTGCCCCAGATCTGAGCGTCAGCAACTCAAGCAGGATTGGAACCCAGAAGTCCTGGCTCCCAGCCCTTGAATAAATAAACCAAAAAGAACCAAGATTCAACCATGACAGTCTCTGTTTATGTAAGGTCAATAGGCACCTCGTTTTCTAGTAATCAGTGAAATTCACAATTCCCAGAGCTTTGCTGACATCCGTCCATCAGTCAATCATGCGTGACACTGGCGGCTGGCCAGGATAACATTTGAAAATGTTGTTTTGGTTGGACTGTCAATTTGCTCTATTCAAACGCAGGACAAGGAAAAGCAAACAACGTTTGTAAAATGGACACATTTCATAGGGAAAATCTACTTTGTTTTCCAGCTTCTAAAAGGGCTTTAGCCACCATGGCAAATAAAGAATTAGCAGCTGAAACACTCTCTAAAGGCTGAATTGGGACAAGGTGAAAACATGAACAGCAGGCGTGAGATCAGGATCAGGGTTTCATAAAGAGCTCAGAAGTCTGGATTTGTCTCCTGAGAGGAGACATGCGGGTCTGGCATCTTCGTGCAGATAACTGAACAATGCTTCCGGCCCAGGTGGAGTTGGGAAGAGCCATTTCAGCTCCAACCTGGGGCCGAGCAGGTAAACTCGGATGTGGAGCTACACTCCGAGCCCAGCTGAGGGGTGGATGGTCCTGTCTAAAGTGCGCACAGGCTGCGGGGCTCTTACCTTAATGGTTTTGTCTGAGGAGCCACTGAAAAGCAAGTCTCCTATGGAGTAAACACACAGACACCAGACAGGGCCTTGGTGCCCGACAAAGGTCCCCTTGCATTTGAAGATCTGCTGAGGATCGTACGCTGTGGAGTGAGAAGAGGCAGGAGGTGATTAGGGGAACCATGACGCTAGGCCCTGCCAGCACCGAACCGGCCATGGAACTAGAGGGGAGGGTTCTACAGACAAGAGCTGGTGTGTTACGCGAGCCTGAAATGCATTATGGGAAATACAGAGTCAGTTGATGCTTTGCTCCCAAAGGGATCTGCTGAGAAATCATAACAACAAGCCTAACATTCTGGGGCAAGCCAAGGGCGAGAGCATCGAACGTGTACTCACATCCTAGGATGCCCATGTTGAGGCGGGCGTTGATGTGGGACAGTTCATCCTGAAAAACAAACCAGGCAGGGTTAGAAGCAGAACAACTGGAATCCATGCGGCGTCCCGGCACTGGCAGGCACTCCGCTAGGCTTCCCACGGAGTCTGAGCCAGTGCTTTAATACCTCCCTACGAACGCTGAGAGCTCCAGCCAGCAGCCTCCGGACTGAGGACAGGAGCGCCTGGCAGTGCTCACCCAGGGGGTTCGTTCTCTGGCCAGGGGAAAGTGGAGGTCTGGAAGCACCTTCCTTATAGCCATGCATGTTGTCTCCGCAGAGGTGAGCAGCACCTGCTTTCACCCTCCTGTGGGTACAGGGCTCAGCCCGGGTCTCCCTGGGATGTGGACACTCGTACACCTTTCAAAATGCACAATCCTTCCTCGTCCTAAAACCGACACCGGGCAGGGCCAGGCCGTCGTGGTGCTTTCCAAATCCACTTTGCCTGAAAATATTGCAGGGGTCACTCGACACAGTGCTCCGGGGCCCGGGCCTTGCCATCTCCAACGGAGCCGCTTTGCTGGCTGTATCTGTCCCCGCTAGGGCTAGCGTGCTCTGCATTCAGTCCTGAGCAGCATGCACAGAGCTGGGGTGTGCGCTGCTGGCGGGACGTGTCCCACCTGAACTCTGGCTGGAAGGGGATCTTATCAATGCCCTGAGAAGCGCCAGAAGGGGCTGCCAAGGGCCTGCTACGTGTTAGTACTAGACAATTACCGCGGCTCTGCACAATTCTCCTGCCAGTGGTAAGAGAGAACTGCGGTAAAGACCCAAAGAACCAGCCCTGGGCCGATCCCTGGCTGCAACGAAAGGCCCAGGAGTGCTAGAGTTCTGGGCAAAGCCCTGGCTCCCTGCAACGAGTGTCCTGCTGGCAGCAGCCCAGGGCCTGCACCACAGCCTGGCTCCAGCCTGCGCCACACTAAGGCCTCCAAGCCAATTCCAAGGGCTTCTGCAGGCAGCCGGGCTGCCCACCCGGGCCCGATTCCAGCTGTGCTCTGGCGCCCTTTGCACCTTGTGCACACAGGGATCCCTGCCCGGCTATGGCAAACACAAAACGGGGGGCAAACAGAGCCAGTGCGGAGGGAACTAGGGCTTGGCCATTTTGAACCCCTAACCCGGGTCTCCCGCCCACGGGAAGAGAAGCTTTACAAGTACATGCTGTTAACCCTTTCTTCACCAGATGACTACGATGGACAGGCTCCTCCCCGATGCCCCGTATCATGCAAAGGACTCACATTTAGCATGGAGGCATCCCTGCGGAACTCCATCAGGTCCTCGCTCAGTTTGCTTTGGTTCTCATCCAGCACATCTAGGGGGACAGAAGGGCAGGGCCGTCACCCCCAGGCCAGGAAACTCACTCACTACCCCAGGGTGTTTGTGTTACATTTGGCATGACCCTGGAAATACCTGCAGTTACCTTACTGAGGGCGGGGGTTGAACTAACAGAAATATAAACACCCTGGTTAATTGGGCCCCACGTGCAGGGTTCAGCTCCGACCCCCTTTTGTGTCTTTGGCAAACGTTCACACTTGTTCGTTCTGGGGTATAAAAAGCAAGGCTTGCAGATGTCTCTCTAGCAGAGCCTTTTCCTAACCCCCTTGGAGTTACTCCCAGGCCTGACTGTGCTGTGAGTATTTTGGCCGATGCTCACAACTGTATTGTGTTAGGATATAAAGTGAGAGAGAGAGAGAGAGAGAGAGTGTGTGTGTGTCTCTCTCTCTCTCTCTCTCTTCGTT